GGATGCTCACAGAATTGGTTGATTTTGGTCGCAAATTAGATGAAAAAATGAAGGCTACAATAAATGAAATGAAGAAAAATGCACAGGGAACCAATAGTGATGGAATGAAAGCTGGGTCTCACATCAATGGAGTGAACCAGAAGGAAGAAAAAAACATACAATCAGAAAAGAATGAAGAAATAAGAATTCAAAAAAATGAGGAGAGGCTTAGGAACCTCCAGGACATCTTTAAACGTTCCAACATCCGAATTATAGGGGTACCAGAAGGAGAAAAGGAAGAGTGACAAGTGGAAAGCTTATTTGAACAAATAGTAAAGGAGAACTTCCCCATTCTGGCAAAGGAAATAGACTTCTGGGAAGTCCAGGAAGCTCAGAGAGTCCCAAAGAAGTTGGACCCAAGGAGGAACACACCAAAACACATCATAATTACATTAGTCAAGGTAATAATGAAGGAGAGAATCCAAAAAAAGGACCTACAGGATTTCATCACAGGTGCCTTCATCAAGTATCCTGTATGCTTCCCCATTAGATAAAACGTTTGTTCCCTAGATGCCTCCTCCTAGCACTGATTCAAATTCAAGCTAAGGTTTTAATTATGTTGCCTTAATTCTCCTACAACCCAGGAAAAGGGTTACATTCTTTGGCTCAGCAGTTTTTGGGGGGGAAAAGATTATTTTTTATTTTCTATAACCAATCTCATCTTATTCTCAAATCCTCCTTCCCACTATAACAAAAAAATTAAACCTACAGATTAGAGATCATGTATCTCTTTCAGTGTTATACAGTGACTTGAGTAAATTTAATGATTTAAACAGATCTCCCCCCCATTCCTCCTTCGCTGAAGGGCATATGACAGGGCAGAAGCTTTGTGTGCACATACCGGTGGAGGGTAGGCTCTTGTGGACTGCCTGATGCTCTCTATTCTCGAGCTTTGCAGACTTCCACTGAGATGTCTCACATTCCACCTGGACACCCAGCCCAGGGGTCTGTAGTATGAAACTGGCAACTACTGCCAGTGACATGGGCCTTGCTTCCCTAATGTCTCAAGTTCTTCCTGCTCAGGGCCCTCCTTGCCCCTACCCCAGGTCTCTTCTTCTCAACAGATCTGAGCACTTTACCTGTTACTTAAAGGGATCTCTTCAGAGTCTAGAAAAACAATCCTAAAACTTGTCATACCCCACCTCTTTTTTTCCATTTGCTGAAGGAGTTACATGGGTTTTTCATAGCCATGAATATCCAGAGGAACATTAGAAATGTATGCAGAATTCAGAACTTTTTCATGTTGTGGAACTGTCCTCACACCAGAAAATGCCTAGCGTCTCTGGCTTCTACCCACCCTGATATACTGTGACAACCAAAAATGGTCCCACACATTTGCATCCAGCACCCAGAACCACTTCCCTAGCACCACTTGGACTCTGGGGGAGCCAGGGGCACCAGTAAAGACCTGTCCCACCCAACTTCGCCCTCAGCTGGTTCTGCACCATTGCTGTTCTGCCATTGGGTTGTCATACTGCTTCAATTTAAATCATTTTGTGAGACATTATAGGTTAGGATCTCCCAGGAAACAGACTGAGGTTTGTATGCAGGCATGGGAAGTGCTCTCAGGAGCAATACCTGTGACGGAGTGAAGCATGACTGGGCAGAGGAAAGTTAGACTGTGCAGCCAAAACCGCAGCTGATCACATAGGGAGCTGAGGAGCTGAGCTGAAGCAGGTTTGCTGCTACAGACCCAAGTGCAGGGCAACACTGACTGGTCCAACTGTAGCTGAAGGAAGTGCTTTCTTCACTGCTAAGTCATCTTTTGTTTTTTCAATTAGACTTAATGGAATAATGGCAGGAGGAAGATGGAGTATTTGTCCTGGTCTATTCAGGCTGCTGTAACAAAATACCATGGATTGGGTAGCTTATGCACATTCATTTCTCACCGTTCTGAAGGCTGGGACATCTAAGATTATGACACCAGCAGACCCATGTCAGATGAGAACCTGCTGCCTTTGCTGTCTTCTCACCATAACCTTACATGGCAGAGGGGCAGGTGAGCTTTCAAGGCCTCTTTGATAAGGACTAAACTTATTCATCACCTCCTGAAGGTCCCACTGCCTAATAGCACCACCTTGGAGGTAAGGCTTTCAACATATGAATTATGGAAGGACACAAATGTTAGTCCATAACAATATAAAACTTCACCATAATTTGATTGTGTAAGGTAGGTGCAATATGGTGAACCGCGGAAGGTGTGAGAGATTCGTGGACGAAGCCCTGTGAAGAACTTGGCTGGTGTAAGTGACCAATTTTGAATGTTTATTAATTTTCCTTTTTAAATATTTTGCATAATTAAGGATTATAATCATCACCTTACATGGGAAATTGAGGACCAGAGATTAAGTATTTTGCAAGCTCCCACAGTTAATAGAACACCCTATTATTCCAATTGTCACTATTTTTTTAACCAGAACCATCTATATTTTCATACTAAGCAACGTGTTAAATTCAGTAGTGAACTCAAATATTATTAAATATTAATCTTCACTTTTTCTCCTTGTGCTCAAGCTCCCTGGGGCAGGATCAACCAATGTGTACTAACTAGTTCATCATCAGCTGAGCACCAATATTAGAAACAGAAATAACATCCCAACCTTCCCAGGTAACAATGCATGTGCAGAGACATCTCCTATCTCAAATGTATGGAATCCTGTAAGATTAGTTGATAACAGCAAGGAAAAAGACATTCAAATGCTACCTTTGAAAATGTCCCTCTCTTTCAATGTCATTTTCAAGGGCCTTAGCACGAATGTTTACCTTTTAAAACAAACATTTTTAGTAACATATCCTAATGTCTTAAGGATCTTTAGATAGAGATCAATATGCTATTTTAAAAAATATTTAAATGGCAGAAGATACATCCAAATTAATATAAGGCAGTGTTTTTCTTTAAAAAACCTGAAAGTATAGGTGAAAATTGTTCTGATTCATATTTTCAAAAGTCTTAAGTTCCTCAAGAATCAATCTATTTTTAACAGCAAATCTGGAGTATAATTTAACTTAATGATATATCCCATATAGATGTTTGAACTGATGTGGTCAAAACCTACTTTTACATCTCGGCTTCTGTAGCAGTAGCCCACACCCCAGTATTTTCAGGTCCTTAATTGCTTTAGCTTAAGTGTCTGCTTGGGGTTGACAATAATATGGCTTCACTTTGCTCGTCCACTGAGCACTTTTGTGCAAAGAAGACCCTCTTACCTTCAAGTTCCACGTGGTTCTACCTCCAGATCTTTCTGCCTAATGGTCTTGGGGTTGGAGGCCAGGGAACCCAGATGCCTTTCTCAACTGCCAGGGACTAGGCTAAGGAGAGAGTGAGGCACTTACTTTGGGAAAGATGTATGCTCCAGTTTGAGAACCAGAGTCTTTGGTTAATTCGCAGAATATAAAGCCAACAGTAAAGTTATTATTTAGTCTGGATGAAAATACCTGAAAATATCATTAGAACCAGACTGTCTTCATTTCCATATTAGGTTCTGCCTAATTCTGAAAATAACATTCTGTAATGACAAATGTGGTAATCCACTTCAATACCTATGGAAAAATGTATAAAACTTACACTTAAAAAATTATGGGTGAGAGTGGAATCATTCTTGACACTTGAAAGTCAAGCCTTCATTGACCTCATTGCTTTTCTTAAATTAAATTGTTCTTTTTGATTCTTAAGTATGTGCTTATCAGCTTCAAAAAAGATCTTTCCTTAGGAAAAGCAACATCTTGCAATTAACACAAACTTTTGGACTTTTCCCTGCACAGAAATGCTGAACATGACTACCATTCCCTGTATTGGTCAGGATTTGGGCTGGGGAAAAGTATTCCTTAACGATAGCTGTCTTATTTGATTCTAATCATGACGTCTAACTCCCAATACAAATGTGGGGTTGACCCTGTTGTGCTCGTGGGCATGTGGTGTCTAACTTTTGAATCGAGGCAGCTATTCGCAATAGCTGAGTAATTTATCTCAGTGGCTTAGATTCAATACTTTAAATCAGCAGTGACCGGACAACCTGCAGGAAGCCCGACTCTCCTACCTGAACCCTCAAGTCAACCATTCCAAGTTGTTCCGAAGCTCTCACACGTCCGCGATGTGGAGTGTGGTTCTCTTGCAGTGTGCCACCCCAAGAACTCAGACCCTTCAGGTGGATTAATTAGGAACGTAGGGAATGTGACAGCATGAAGACTTCACAACTGCAGGACATGGTTCTGATCAGTGTGCACCACACTCACCTGAGTAACTGGCATGAGGCTTCGCTGTTTGTTTTTTTTAAAAGATTTATTTATCTTTTAGAGAGGGAAGGGAGGGAGAAAGAGAGAGAAACATCAATGTGTGGTTGCTGGGGTGCAACCCAGGCATGTGCCTTGACTGGGAATTGAAACTGTGATGCTTTGGTTCACAGCTCGCGCTAAATCCACTGAGCTATGCCAGCCAGGGCGAGGCTTTGCTGTTTTAATATCCAGACTGAGGCTTGGTGTTTATTAACCTAAACTGAGAAGGGCCAAGCACATACTTTAATAACTCATACTTTAATACTTTTAATAAAGTATTAAAAGTAATTAATATTTTTAATACTTTAATAACTTTAATAACAGTACTTTAATAAGGACTGTTCTGATTCAAATACTTCTATAGGAGTCAAGTCCATTTTATTTCTATTACATGAACTTCTGGTTTTATTAAGAGTTAAATTTATATGCCAAGAGGCTAGAATATGGAAGGTTTAATGTTCTATTGACCCCCATCTTATAGTATTTTATATGAATGACAACACTTAGAATCCAAAAGCCACCACTGTCTCCAGCGGAGAAATTCCGAGTCGTTCCAATTCCTCGCGTGCACCCGCGCCGGAGCACAGCAGCCGTCTGCCTCCCAGTCTGAAGTCACAGGCAGCTCTCTCTCCAACACTAAATCATTTTAAATATGTGACTTTCTTCCCACCAATAAGAGGAATGGAACATTTTGTATTTGAAATTTTAAGGTCAGTTTTATTAAGTTCATTGATGAAAGCTTTCAGAAGAATATTCTCCTGAAAATTATTTTTTCTTAGAAAAAAAGAAAGGAAAATCAACACCCTCTCAGCATAGCCACAGATGCTGTGGCAGCCAAGCCTCTCTGCAGACGGGGACGGTCCATCAGTCAGTCAGGTCGCTCTCTGGGTCAGCGGGATTGTAGTCTGGATCATCCTCATCATCCTCCAGCTCCAAGTCATCCATTTCCTGGAACAGAGACTCATCTACCTCCACGTTGTTTCCAGCTGAAAAAGACCAAAGATTTCACCTTCAGTCTTATGCTCAGGAATAAAAGATACAGTTCACTGGCAGTAGCAAACAGAAATTTCTCCACGTGCATGGGAGGTGATGAAATCCTAAACTGCTGCTGCAAATCAAACCAACAATGGCCTGTAGTGGTCAGCAGAGATGGACACGTTTTAAGAAAAATGTCATGCTTCCAGTCGTATAAAGGCTTTCTCGAATGAATTACTGATGATGTGGCACATGACAAGTTGAAGATGACAGTCGGTCCTGGTTCTACAAAGTTGATGATCTCTGACTGTGGGCCTCGAACCAGGGGTTTATCTCTTCCAACAGTGGGAGATATGCATATCATTATGGCTTGACTAGCTATTTATTTGATAGCTTTATTTATTTTTTTAAAGATTTATTTTTATTTTAGAGAGGGAAGGGAGGGAGAAAGAGAGAGAGAGAGAAACATGAATGTGTGGTTGCTGGGGGTCATGGCCTGCAACCCTGGCATGTGCCCTGGCTAGGAATCGATACTTTGGTTCGCAGCCCATGCTCAATCCACTGAGCTATACCAGCCAGGGTAATTGATAGCTTTAACCTGATCTTCCTTGTCACCCAGTTCCCCTTGAAACCAGTGGTATGCCTTTCCAAGATTCCAAATATCTAAGCCCTCTTGAATGGAAGCAATACTCAAGTTTTGCATTAAATATCTACACTCTTCAGTTTGTCTGAAGTACGTAAGGATAGGATACTATAGTACTCTTAAATCACCCCAAATTGCTCATCTTCCTCCCCCCTCAGATTCTACAGCCCACTGAATTCAAACTCCATAAAAGTAAGTCTTGCTTCAAGCAGATGAGCAGGTCAGTAATCAAATACAATTTGCTAAGTCCAGGACAAAAAATGACTGACTGACTGAGGGGAGCAATAAAGGCTTCACAGAGCAGATGACCCCTGAAATATCTTCATGATAAATTTGAATCCACCAAGAAGAAAAGGGGCCAAAATGAAGCAATTCTAGGCAGTCGTATATGTAAAGGCAGAGAAAAAAGCTAAGACCCTGAATGCTTCTAACTAGAGCATAAGATTCTTGAGGAAAAACATCTGGCGGTAACAGATAAAGAAAGACTAGACTGAAGAATTGTGCAGGTACCTTCTCCTCTAAGCAGCAGAGAGCCATCAGATGATTTTAAGGAGAGAAATATCATGTGGTCTTAGAAATACCACCTCAGAGGCAGTGACAACAGGATAGGTAAGGTCACTAGGAGGGAGGAGGAAGGGACTAGTGCGGGGAGATAATTTAAGAAGCTACCACAAAAGTCCTGGTAAAAAAAAATGATAAACCTCCAATGTCAAAACAAAAGAGAGAAGACATCTTAGAATCAACAGACAATCTTTACTAAGTTATTGGATATGAGGAGATACTTGATCCATTGGACAGGGAAAAAAAGTCAAGAATGAGCGAAGATAGTAATACTTCTAAAGTGCATGGGAGAATGCGACGAAGCTTTTTGGATCTAGAATTTCTCAACAAAATAGAAAGTGAAATGAGCCCTTCAAGTAAAAAAGAGGTAGATGAGGACATCCTTGCAGGCCATTTGTTTTGAGACTATAAACATCTTGAAGAATATATAAAATATAACTTTAAAATGTGAGATGTTAGTAAGGGCGCAGGGCTCAGGTTAAGAAGCACGACTTAACAGTGAGCCACATCAATACTGCTTCTCAACCTTCTGCAGCAGATAGTGCAGGAACAAGGCCGGAAGGCCAGATGACAGAGGACCCCTAACTGGCAAGATGGGCACGACAGAAGGCCAATGAAGTGCAGAACAGTCCAGGGTGCCATCGCAGGTGTGGCCCCATGCAGCACAGTTTAAGAAACACAGGTAGGCCATAAGCTCCATGAGGACAGGGAATTTTTCTATGCTGTCTCCTCAGCACTGCGACAGTGCTCAGCTTATAGGTGGGGTACAATAAATACTTGTGGATGGATGGATAATGGATAGACAGAAGACTGAAAGAAGGTAGGAATTAGGATAAAAAGAAGGAAAGAATAAGGGGCCAGATGCTCCAAAGACAGTAAGAGTGGTATGAAATGTGAGATTTTTGGTTAGAGGAGTTCCAGATTTGAGGTTTTTATAAAGCTCCAGGACAGACCATGGAATACAGTTTCCATACATTTATGATGCTAGAAATCTGAGGAAAAGAGGTTGCCTAAGTCACAGTAGCCGTGTTTACACGCTGTTAGAGGCACAATGGTGAAAATTGTTCACCTACTGCTATCTTTGATTTTGCTTAAGTTATCAGAAAACTTTAAAGAATACACTGCTGTTTTTAATATATAAACTTATCAAACATTACTATTTGTTCTTCAAAATGTATTTCTTTATACCCTTAGAATTATATTGTTGTCACTGTGATTTTATTAATAATTAATATAAAAACAATACAACATGTACATGTGGGATTCTATTATCATCTTACCATCCTCCAAGAACTGGATATCAGATGTGTCGAGATTATGATCTGTTTCAAATAGCTGTTTCCCTAAAAGAAATAATGTGTTTAATCTGAACAGCAAAGTTTCCCTTCATCTTCTCTACAACCCTTTAAAGAATGTAATAACCCAAGAAAACAAGTCTAAGAACCTGTTGTTCTGTGAATTTCAATAAATTTATGAACTTAGTTAAGAGATGTAGGAAATGTATTTGCATTAAAATGGAACAAGCGATAACCCTCGTCTGCAGCGGAGTCCTGGAAAAACCAAGGGGCCTGACTCCACCACCACTAAGGCTTGTGCTCCTGAAAGTCATGACAACCTGTGACTTTCACCATGACAACCATGGTGAAGATACATCACCATGCAGAGAAAATGCTCTTTTTGTCCCAGATGCCTAAGTATAATAATTTCTTACAGAAATCTGGCCAAATGATCCTCTTGCTAAATCAGAAGCATCGCAGGACGGTTGGTGGGGAATAGAAATAGGGATGAGTCATACCACTTAATTTATTTTTTCCTGCTTGTTCTTCTTCTTTCATTCGTTTCTTTTTAAGTTCCAAGAGTTCTGCATCAAACTTGGCTTTCCAATTTAAGAAATTCTCAATTGTAACAGGAGTGCCATGAAACAATTGCTTGGGGGAAAAAAGACAAACATTCACTAGATTAGTGAAACAACAGTTTTAAAAATAAAGCCTAATGATCTTCTAGACAAATGAATATAGTCACTTACAGGAAAAACAGAAAAACTGTTTCAAGTTTTGAAGTACTTGGTTTTGGTGATTTATTCTGGAAAAGTCTACGTATAGTTTTTATTACAAAAAAACAAAGATAATATGCAATGTATCTCCACTGATATTCACTGTTCAGAAAAAGGTTGTTGTTGTCAGTACTAATGTTTTGAATACACATCAATTTACAAATTAGCATCACAGCTTATCTTTTTACTTCATTCCATTTACTTCATGTGAAGTTTTCTTCTGTAAACACAGTCATGCCATGAAACAATTTTTAGTCAATGACGGACCACCTATATGACAACAGTCCTACTAAGATAACAGAGGAGAAAAATTCCTCTCGCCTAGTGACATCAAAGCTGCCTAAATATCATAGGGCAATGCATTATGTTTGTGGCAATGCTGATGTACACAAACCTACTGTGCTACTAGTTGTATAACAGTAAAGCACGTACAATTATATACATTTACTACTTGATAATGATAATAGGCAAATGTTACTGGTTTATATATTTACTGTATTATATTTTCTATTGTTAGTGTACTCTTTCTGCTTACATAAGAAGTTTGCTGTAAAATGGTATGCCTTGTTATGCCAGCAGCAGCCTCCTACATCTTGTGTTTACCAAGTGTCTGGATTGCATTATTTCCCCTTGTGTTTGATTCAACTCATGCTGTTTATAAATTTAGTGTAGCCTATGTGTACAGTGTTTATGAATTCTACAGGAGTGCACAGTAATATCCTAGATCTTCATAGTATTTGCCACGCACTCGATGACACACAGCGCAACTTCCAGTCCTGCAAGCTCCATTAACAGTGTACTATGTTTTATCTTTCACACCACATTTTTACTGTACCTTTTCTACGTTTAGATACACAAATACCTATCGTATACACAAACTGTGTTACAGCTGCCTACAATATTCAGTACAGTGACATGCTGTACAGGTTTGTGCTGTACAGCCTAGGAGCTGTAGATTGTACCTATAGCTTAGATGTGTAACAGGCTACACCATCTAGGTTTGTGTAGGTGCACTCTATGATGTTCACACAATGAAGAAATGCCTAACAATGCATTTCTCAAAACATATATCTGTGTTAAGCAGTGCATGACTATATTTAAAACACTCTGGTGGTGGCTTTATCAATTCTCAACTCAATACTGTAAGTGAAATTAATTTCTATTTTTTAATGTTATCTGCAAGAGCTTTACTGAACTTTACTGATTATTAATCATTGTGTTACACCACCAACTAAATGAATGAGTTCTATGATTTTATTTTACTTAGTCAAGTTTTACTACACTTTACTTTCATTTATTTTTGTGATTTCCAAAAACAATTATTCAAATTTCCAAAAACAAAAATAAGAAACAAAAATCCCAAACAACTCAAAAGAAAAAAAAACAGATTTAGAGAAAGAAAACATGGCTTTTAATATACCTTTTCAGCTTCTTCTGCTTCTTTTTCTTTTTGTTTCTTTTCTTCTTCTCTTCTAGTTTTTATTTGATCCACAATTTCGTTTAATTTTTCTTGCACAGCTGTCACTAAAGTAAAGATCATCACCATACCAAGGTTTTCTTCTGCCTACATAACCAAAAAAAAAACCAAAACAAAACAAACAAAAAAAATCCAACAACAAAAAAACTGAGATTGTAGTGAAAGGCATACTTCTAAGACAAATAAGAACAATTCATCAATAAAAAAGAGTTTCGGCATAGTAACCAAATTTCATACATTCATAATAGCATTACTAATTCAGTTACACATCAGTTCAGACACCTGAATAAATGATTATTTAAAAACAAAACATATATGTCAATAACAATATCTTAAATTTTAGGAAATCATGTAATTTGCTATATGCAACCTAAAGGAGGTAGGTCAGTAAATTCTGTTCAATAGTCATAAATGTAGGTAGAATTCAGAAAATCTTTCCTGCAGTAGCTAGTAACATCAATTCTCAAGCATGTTTTCATTATTTTAGTTCCTTTCAGTAATTTTAAGAGCTATGACAATGACCTGAACTTTGAGGCCAGAGCAATTTTCTAACATAATACAATAATAATGAACGCAGGGACTTCTGTGATTTACCTTTCGCTACCTTTTTTTTTCTTTTGATTTGAAATGATTCAAAGCCAGACAGAAAAGCATCTCTGACTCATGGAACAGTTATAACTCAAGAGCTATTTGGAAGTTGGTCATCTGAAGGCAGAATAAAATAAAACATCTTATCTATCCATAGATATAAGATGGGTTCAAACTTATCTTATTTCTGTGAAGAAACAAGACAAAAAAATAAAAATAAAAATCCAAAATTTACAAGCCAGAATCTCCGTCTTAGAAGCTGAAGAGATTTCCAAGCATTCCTCGGACTGGACTGACCTCAGATACATTTGAATAGATGTTTAATCTCCTGTGCCCTCGGTGAGGACTAACACCTATAACCCTCCACAGCAGAGCTTCTCTGTGTTTCCACGCTAACCATCCCAAATCTGATGCTAAAAAAATCTTTCCCCTGCATGCCACACCTGTATAGAAACTGACCACTGTCAGCGACTTGGATGTCCCATAGGCATCTCAACATGGAAACTATCATCTCCACAAAACCCATTTCTAAGTTCTCCATCTAAGAGAATCATACAACCATCTACCCAACCTGAACACTCCTATCCCATCCTAAGCTCTATCACTGTCTCTTACCTATTCGTATATACTACTTAAATTCACCTGCTGTTCTATCAACTTTTTTTAAAGGAAGGAGTATGAATACTGTATAAAATGAAAGAAAATAAATCACTAAGATCAATTAATTTATATTAATACATGACTGCCTGAATACAGCATATTGTCTCGGGTTCTCTACAATGTTTTAAAATGAAGTGTGCTATACCAAATAGTATTAGAATTAGTATAATTTCATAGTGGGTAACAGGGCTCAGGATCAGTATAAATTCCTGTTTAATATATGTTCTTTCACTCTTCATTTGCTAGTAGCTCAATATATAAGTATTTTTTTAAATATCAGCATTAAACCCTGGCCAGTGTGGCTCAGTTGGTTGGAGCTTCATCCCATGACCGAAAGTTGGAGGTTCAATTCTTGGTCAGGGCACATGCCTAAGGTTGAGGGTTCAATCCCCTGTCCAGGTGCATATGATCCCAGTCTAGGCATGCAGGAGGCAACCAATCGATGTTTCTCTTTCACATCAAGTTTTCTTTCCAACCCTCCTTTCTTTATAAAAGCAATAAAAAAAACCTCAGGTGAAGATAAAGTATAAAATATTAGCATTAAGAAGACCAACAGTCCTTGAAATACGCAAGTCACATTTAAGATGGAGACATGTTTTCTGCTAATTCTTCTTAGAAAAAACAAACAAATAACTAGAACTTCTGATTTTAAGATGGTAAAGATTTTGCTTGCCTTCTCTATTCCCTACTCTGAAGAGCACATGAAAACTCTCTATCCAAGCAAGAGACAGCTTTAAATATATGCCACGATCAGTATCCCATCCCACCACAGACTAGCCAAATAAAAGCTTTCCAATAGCCATTTTTTTCTTCCCCTCTTAGAGGAGCCATAAACCCCTGTTGCTGTTTATAAGTTTTTATAAAGGAGAGCTTTTTTAAAGAGAGAACGAGACGTAAGAAAAAAAACAATCACCAGTCCTCTTTCCAGAATATAGGCAACTAGCCTGCAACAAATCAGAAGGGTTGGAAGTTTTAATTCTTTGCAGCTGGATTTTTAACTGCACATGGGACTGTGTATTCTGAGAATGAAACTGAATCTGTGTTTATACCTATCACACTTTTTATTATCTGAAAGTCACAGGTGATGATAAAGTTTTAAATAGGGGCAGAAGGACAACTACTCTTACCCAAAGTTTAAAGGTATTTGTTTGTACCCACACACACACCACACACATACACTGAATTCTGCATGTTCAATGTACTAATTATACATATTTAGCATTTTTCACTTGCAATTGATATATAATACCTAAGGCCAAAAATCCCCACTTTACAAAACCCATTATTTCCTTACCTGTAATGCTAACAATTTTAAAATACTTGAAACATCATTATCTTCTAGATTTTCCTGGGAGAATATTTCATAAAGAGGGGCTTCATCTGGGTATTTCTCACTGTATGTAAACTTGAGGGTAGTCTGGACAGCTAGAGACATAAAAGTTTGATAAGAATATCTTAAAATGTAGAGAAGTCAACATCTTTGTTGAATCAGTAATTACCATATTTTGCCATGTATAACGTGCACTTTTTTGCCCAAATTTTTGAGGGAAAAATTAGGATGTGCATTATACATGGGTATGATTACATACCCTGGATATAATAATATTGTGCATACTATACACAAAACATAGGTGAGCATTATACATATGAGCACATCATACATGGCAAAATACGGAAATTTACAATGTGTAAATTAAAAAAAAAAAGGAGCACAACAGATTTTCCTGCAAAGAAAAACAAGGTTATACAAAAAAACAGACTCTTTAAAATCCTCCATTAGAAGAATAAAAGGCACTAAATATAACATATAAGAAAGTACTATCTTAGGCTCATTTTCAGATCTCTACTAAAGTCAGTTTCCAGTGCAGAATATCTGGTTTTGGGGTGGGGCAGGAGGTGTGGACAACGACTATATTTCTATCTGCACAGGGCCAGCAAAGGATTCCTGAGGGGTTACTAGATGACATGTTCCGAAGTGGACAGTCTGAGAAGTTGTGTGAGAAACTTTTAACCTGAGTCATCTATACATTCCTACTCACTCTTTTGGCTTGTGCCAGTTCACAGATCTCCCACTTGTATGGGAATAAGACTCTTACATGTATCATTGCAAAGTATCTAATCTCTTGGCAGCCCAGCCTGGTGAATTCTCAAGCAATTTGCAATAAAGCAGATGTACTAAACATTTTCTGTCAAAACTTATTAGCCATAATAATCCTTTGTCTAGAGTTTGCCTTCCTTGTAACTCACATTTTAATTATTAAAACCTCCTCATTTTAATGATTTTAATTCAAAACTAAATATCTCTCTGGGGGGACACCTTAAAATATGTTGGTTTGATATTTTGTTTCAATGTCTGTGTATGGATGTCAACAAAGAATTTTATGAGTCAATGGATATAAAAAATTACGGTGTTTTTTGCATTTTTCATTGTTTTTTATTAGCCTTTCTAATCTCATTCCTAAAAAAGTTTCTTTAAAAAATGATTGATTCTACTATGTGATGTAACAGACATTCATTATAAAAAATTTATGAATACACTAGGATAAAAATAAAATCAATAATCATCCCATCATCAGGAAGAGATCATTACTACCATTTTGGTATATTTAATGATCATAAGAGTATTTTAAAAATGATACTTTAAAGTATCTTTCTATGAATATATTTAAATTTTAAACAAAATATAAAAATTGCTCATGTTGTATGTGAGACTTCATACATATAAATATGTGAATAATAAATACCCAACATCATTTACAATTGCACAAAACAGATTTGGAGTTATCAAGTATTACCAGTAAGATCAGTATTGCACGGCTGAATTTTAGTTGAATAGTTTAACAGAAAAAAATAATCCCCGGAGTTAACATCAACTTATGTCATATTTTTATCAAACTGAACTTGACTAAAGTTAGAAATGAACTTCAGATACCTCCTGTGCCCCCCAATATCTGCCCAAATTTAAATTACTTTATTTAATTTTAATGTATTAGTTTTATAACTGCTTTATTTCAATTTGTGCATCTGTTTTATTTCTATAGTCATATAACAGTGGTTTTACCTGGTTTTATAAATATATATTTAACTAACAGTAGAATATCCACCCTAAACAGAGGGAGAAAAACATGCAGATAGGTGTTTATACAGACTAATTTATAACAGCAAAAATCCAGTAATCTGAATTTCTGAAGATGAAAAACAGTCATAGAAAAATAATAGTCACTCAATGAAATATACAACCACTGTAATATGTATGTGTAGAAAGTCTTGCTTTGGCTAAAAAAATCTCTTCTCCTTCTGCTGTAACATTTCGGTTTGGCTTTTAAAAGCTAAGCTTATTGTGTCAGAATATATCTCACTGACTTTCTATTTTTCTAGAAGTCGTATTTATATAGTATACCAACTAGAAACACACAACGCTCACATCAGATTCTTAACAGCACCTTAGCACCTCTGCACCTGCAATGCCCAGCACAGAATTACTGTAGGATAAGTAAAATTCCTGAGGGAGAGGCTTAGAAAAACCACAAGTATTTTTTACTAGACTTACTTTCATCATTTTCTCCAGCCTCAGATGTCACAGTAATGGTGAAGCTGGGAGGATTTTCTGATAATACTGCAAGAAAATATACACATAAGTTAAGTTGTTAAGATGTTTTCTAAGGCAGATGTTTTCCTCATTACCCAACTATTACTACCCAGTCCAGGAAACTGATCCCTAGGCCTGAATTTCCATGTCCACAAATACAGACTAAATAGGGCATTCAAATAATAAAACATATCCACGAATTTATTTATTTATTTATTTATTTATAGAGAGGGAAGGGAGGAGAGAGAGAGAGAGAGAGAGAGAGAGAGAGAGAGAGAGAGAGAGAGAGAGAAACATCAATGTGCAGTTGCTGGGGGCCTTGGCCTGCAACCCAGGCAAGTACCCTGGCTGGGAATCGAACCTGCGGCACTTTGGTTCACAGCCTGCGCTCAATCCACTGAGCTATGCCAGCCAGGGCGAATTTTCTATTTAAATCTCAAGTTGTCTTAAATATGTCAAGAATTACCCGTAGTAGATATCCTCCAGGATTTTTACCAAATCAGTTAAAATAATTACATAAGTTAATTTTAATTCAAAATTTCCACCCATATATGGAAAATTACATTCTAAAAAATTCCCAAATGGAATGACAAGTTTGATGTTTCTTGTTAAAAACTACCCACTGATATTCAGTATTAGCACTAATGTTTATACTCAAGTATTCTGAAATACAATTCAGAATCTCCATGGCAAACAGTTAATATTAACTTGTTAGCATTTGTGTCTTCTAGCTATCTCTTTCTCACACAGCACCTCTGGAACCAGACTTTACTCTTTTTACAAATTATTGAGCCTCTGCCATCTTTCACGGAATTATAAAATTGGCCATAACTCTTAATATCAAATTGCTTACAATCTGTTAATAAGCAAGACAAGTCACCTGAAACCTATATAATTTTATTAACCAATGTCACCTCAATAAATACAATAACATTTTTTTAAAAGACATGTAAATCCGTATTTACATAAATAGGGAAGCTCTATATACCATTTTACACCCTGATGTCTGATATTTTATATTTTATATGTCTGATATGTCTGTTTATATCTATTTTCCCATAAGCACACTGTAAAGACTGTGAGAGCTCCCAGATCAGTGCCTAGCAGTATCTAGAAACTCAATAAATTTTGGCTCAATGAAGAGTCAAACTAATGGGATGAAAGAAGACAAAAACAAAGAAAACTTGCATTGAGAACCCTTAGAAGAATAAACAAGGAAAATTGAAGCCACCCACGAGAGCTGCTGAGCCCAGGGGGCAAGCCTGAGGCTCGCTGCAGGCCTGGCAGGCACTGGCCCAGTCAAGGCTGGCAGCAGCCTGTTCCCAAAATGAAAGAGCGTGGGGATCCCTGAAGAAGCCGCTACGGAAACTACTCAGCTTTTCCTACTTCGGAACTTCTGAGGCCTTCATAAATACTCATCATCAATAAAAGTTTCCAGACACATGACTTCATTTTAATTGAGGTGTAAAGGTACTTGAAACAACGATGAACACCTGTGAGCACTTGAAAGGTGTCTGAAAGATAAAAGACTCACTGGACTCGTATTTTAATAGGCCTCAGGCAGGCCAGCCTCTGCTGAAAAAGTCCCTGAAAGAAAATTATAATAAAGTTTTTATGATTGGCCCTACTTTTTAAAAAACAAATGTGTGTAAAATATATTTGATGTATTTCATTCCTATTTCTTTTCATGATCAATAGCATTTACATGCCATTAAATATAAACATCGCAACTGTAGAAGTAAGGGTTCAACCCAATGACATTCCAACTTATTACCATTTTCTATCACTAGGACTTCCTGAGGCTATAAGTTAGCGATTACTTGACAGCCAATAACGACAGCTAACATTCACTGAGCACTGCTTTGTGCCTGTGCAGTGCTACGTACTTACAAAAGATCTGTTAGTTCTCACACCAAGACCATGATTTTATACTGTTACCATATTTCATCAGACTTAAAAGGCCATCAAGTATGAGATGCACCCTCCTTTACGTGCCACTAAGAAAAAAAAAGCTGCAATTAAACTGTGAAATGTAGTTGATTTTAAAACAAATTCACATTGCACAGATGTTAAAATGTAAAAACGTCTTAGAAACAATATAATACTGTACCACGCCAATTATATAGATGTGAAAACTGAGAAAAAAGCTTTTAAGTAATTTTCTCGAGGCTACACAAGCAGTAATTAGCAGAACTGACTAATCTGTAAAGAGTTTCATTAAAAAATAAAATTTTCCCAGCTGAGAAATTGCAGGGAAAGCATTTGAGCTCGAGCTAGTCTGTGAATTAAGGCATACTGGTAAGTACAGATGGAGAAAAGAAATGTAGGAGAGTAACACAGCAGCCAGGGTATGATAGTTTTATTTTGTTTTTTAAAGCAGCAGTAACACAGTTAGAACTATATTCTAAACATAGGAAGATAAATCTAGCAAGAGTACACAGAATGGGAGAGAAACGAGACTAGAGACAGGCTGAACTAGATAGCTACTGAAATTGCCCAGCCAAGATAATGAGGTTCTGAACTAGGTTGGCAGCAATGGGAATAGCAGGGTATACACGGTGATGAATGACGTTTTAAAGGTGCAGGCAGAGAGGATGGTGGAGCCAGTAACAAAAACAAGAAATAAAAAAGAAAAATCAAATATGATATATTTATATGACACAGGGCAGTTTCAGTCGGATGCATGGAGTATGCAATCAGAAAGTAGGAAATGGAGCTAAGGAGAGATGGGCTTGACTTTAGTTTTGGGGTCATCCAAAGAGAGGCGATAGCTAGAGCTGTTAGAGTAGATGAGATCCCTTAGAGAAAACGGAGAGAGAAATAAAGATCCACACTAGCTTTGTAAGGAATCCTAAATTTGGGGGGAAAATACAAGAGGAGGAAAAAGTGCCAGAGATGAAAAGAAAAGAAGAGGCCATGAGAGATGAAAACACACTCAAGGAAAGGCTACCTTATTTGTGAACAGCCCCAACCACCGAGATCCAAGTCCAACATGGCAGTGTTTACAAGCAAGGGTGTCCAACCCTAGGACCACAGGCCACACGCGTCCCAAGATGGCTATGAATGCAGCCCAACACAAAATCGTAAATTACTTAAAAGCTTTTTTGTGCTCATCAGTTTTTGTTAGTGCTTGTGTACTTAATGTGTGGCCCAAGACAACTCTTCTTCTTTCAGTGGGGCCCAGAGACACCAAAAGGTTGGGCGCCCCGGTACAGTGTATGTGTCTGTGCAGCTATGCAGGGGGCAGAGAACCCTTGGCCTATAAGATCAGTCTAAAGTCATAAAAAGGCCCGTTGTGATCTGGACCCTGCTTACTTGTCAGCTCTCATTTTCCACAACTCACTTCTCACTTTATACTCCAGCAACACAAAGCCACTTGCCCACTGGTCACATTTTGCTCCCTCACAGTCATGCGTTTTGCACATGCTGTGCTCCACTCCCCCAACACCCCCCCCCATTCATTTGTTAACCACTCAGCACCTTTTGGTTCTCAAAAACAACTCAGACCCTCACCTCTCCCTTCACTCCAGCTTCACCCAATACATACCTCCACGCAAGAGTCACGACAATGCTGTAAATGACTCATCCCACGTCTTTTCCCAATAGACTGGGAAACAATCACATTTGGTAAATATTTGGTAAATAAGAACATGGGGACGGTAGCAAGAACACCTTTAACTGCCTGACCAGAAAGAATAAGGAGGCAATATGAACAAGAAGGAAGCTGACAAGCCATTAATCCATAAGAAATCACGATGAAAGGCATGCTCTGGAAAAGCATGAGAATGAAAGAACTGTAGGGCTACAAAGTTTATGGACAAAAAGAGGAATTTCAGAGACCAAAATTTTGAAGATGGTATCTCCAAGGTATGGCTATGCAACCATCAATTGAAGAAAACGAAATCAAAACTGCTCGTTGATAAAGACAAGTAATTATTAAGTCATGTTAGAAGAATCAGAAACTAATATAGTAAATTTCTGTCAAAGAGTATCCTACATATAACAGCTATCAAGTATTTACATTATTCTTCATTAAACAGACATGGAAACTGAGGGTTGGAGAAGTTTTATGATTTGTGTAAGGGTGCAGGGCTAATAATACCCTTTACCAAGCAGCCATTACAGAGGAAAAACTGTGAACTGTGAACAACAGAAAAAGGATGCCGGAGAACACTGCAAATACCTCCCCAAATCCACTCTTCCTTTATTCCAGTAACACCATTTTTAACTGCGCACACTGACCACCTAGAGTAAAACTACACTTCCCAGCCCCGCTTCCAGTTATGTCTCACCAAATAATGGGTTGGAAGCAAGTAAGTCCTTTGACAGTTTCCAGGAAATTTCCTTAATAAACTGCTGTCTTTTACTTTTTTCCCCTTTAACTATTCCAGTCTGAAAAAGGAGCACCACCATCTTGACCATGAGGGTGAGACTAAAGCTTGGGGGTGACTGAGACGTCTGGGTCTCTGAGGAATTTTTGGACAAGAGCTACACAACTATCCTTTACGTACAAGAGCAATAAACTTTTACTTTTTCAAAACCACTATTATTTGAGGTTTTCTGTCACAGCTGAACTTAATTTTAAAACAGGTATTTAAGAAACCACAGAAAAGGATAATATTCCCAAGCTTGGAGGTGACTAAACTAGGGATGTGAATGCTACCTAACTAGACACGCAAAGATGAATGATGACCGAGTAACCCCAGTTCCAATGCATTACTGTTGGGGTAAGTAGAGGAAAGATTAGCCTTCCTAAAGATACCAGACTCCCACCATTGTAAGTGGATCAAATGCTTCTGAGAAAAAGCAAAAGGTTGCTGGGCACAGTGGAATGAGAGAGCGGAGGGGGAGAAGTGTTAGGTGAAGAGGGCAGACGGGCAGAATTAAGGATTTTGTGAAGAATGGAGATTATGGAGGCAGTAGATGAAATGTACACTAAAGGGACACACAAATGACACTAAGACATTCATAAAGAACCAGACAGTCCATAAAACAGTCCACTTGCTTCTTAGGAAGTGTCTGTCTTAGAAAAACTGCTTTCACAAGATGACTTCTGCCCATGTGTAAGATGCAATTATAAATGTTTAAAGCTCATGGTTGCTACTTAGAGGTATTGACACAGCAAAAACAAGATTATATACCCCTGTTTACCAAACAGAATTAAGGGAACTTGACTTTTGGTTAGCGCAAAGCCAACCAACTTGTTCCAACAAAATTCCCCATAGCTAGAGACTTGGACACAGAAATGGCTACTACCTTAGGAGCACTACCGAAGGAGCATGCACTATCAGGAGAGTCTGTTTGTACTTTGGAAAACTAGTTCTTAGAAGGATTAGATCAATATGCAGTCAAGCTATAGAATAAGCAAAACGATGAAAATGTATTATGATTTGCTGTAATTCATAACAAATGCAACACGGGACCGAAAATTGTTTGCAGTTAAGCAAACAATTCTGAAGTTAAGCCAGGTCTGTGTGGCTAGGGCTGTGGGCTGGCCGAGCTGCGCCTCTTCAGCATCCACAAGGGGCTCGTGATGTGCTCAACACAGCTTTACTGTCAAGCAGTCAGCCATCTATTAAAAAAAAAAGTATATCTACTTCCTTCATCAACAGCACTGAGCATTTACCAAATCTAATATTAAAAAACTACTATTAAGTGATTCAAAATGCAGTCAGAAAACTATAAATTCATGTTCCTTGGAAAACTGACACAGGCAATCTCATTCTTAAACGTGGTAGAAAACATGGAAGTAGAAAATCATCAATACAAAAGAAGGCTATAAAATAGTAAACCTTGCAAATCCTGAAAATTTCAGAAGATTAAACACAGATACATTTTATTTCAAAGTCCTCTGCCTTTCCCGAGAGATTTCATAAAGAACCTGATTAATGAGGCGGCCGAGTTCTTGATGAACTATATATCAAGACATCTCAATTGAATTTATTTATTGCAAAGCCTGTAGGAATGCTGACAGGAATCAGAGACTAGGCAGCTCAGCTGATACCAGAGAATACTTGCATGCGTCAAAACTTCATAAATTATCTTTTATTACCCCGACTCAAGAATCCTCAAGCACTTTTGCTTCTGACAAGAATTGCATACACTGAATTATATCAGGACCTAGTACAAAAGAACCACCAGACTGTTGCAGGGTTAAAAAGGTACAGCTTTTACATATGTTTATTACATGGGCAGTGTTTAATGAGGGATACTTTATGTGCAAAGAAATGAAAAGAATAGCACATCTTATGCTTTCTTAACTCTGCCTACAGTGTCCATACCTGTGACATTTCCAATAAACTAGGAATGACTGTATCTTACAATTAAGAATATATCCAACAACTAACCCTATATGCTATTTTATTTAGACATTGACATATAAGCAAGGATAGAGAAGGGAGCCAGACTCCATACACACTCACCCAGTTAACGACACTCTCAAACCCCTCTTCACTCATTCCCTTAACAGCCTCACAGCACAGTTGCACTGCTGGTGAGAGAGAACATGAACAGGATTGCAGCTATACAGGGGTAGCTGAGAGACATCTGCCTGTTGGCAAAGCAGAACAAAATTTGCTACCATTGCAAGCAGTGGTCAAAGGTGGAGCTAAGAAAACTACGCTAAACAATGAAAGGGAGAGGGATTGGAGTTTATGAGTTAAAATAACATACCTTACACTCTGAATTCTCAGTGACAGACAGTACTTAAAGAAAGGCATGGGGAACAGAAACCCTACAAACCTAGGCTCTACTCGCTCTTACTGGTTGGTTGTATTCGATCACTTCTCAAACACGAAGTGTCATGTGGGAGTGGCCACATTGGCACAGCTATTTTGCTGCATTTTAAGAAATCATCTGAAGTAGTCTTCCTTTAAGTATTGAACTTCTCAATATTTTACATTAGCCGAACCTGCCAAGCAATCTCCACCTCATCCCAGCTGGAGCTATATCCCATGTCCCACGTGTCTGGAGATGAAGGAACAGGAAAGGAGTTTCAGACCTATCTAACTCTTAGTACCAGTCCTGCCGCTAACTTGCTGGCTGACCCCAAGCAAGCCACCTCTTTCCTGAGCCTTCATTACCTTGCCTGCAGCAAGAGGAGTCCAGGCCGGATGACAACTAATATACGTTCCTACCTGACAACCTGTGAATTTACAGTGGAAGTGAACTCTGGGCCACATCATTCACTGGGCATTATGCAGAATGCCAGAGAATAAAAAATAAATGAAAAAAAAAAAGAAAAACGACAAACTTCAGGGATGATGCTATCCTCTGATTCCGGGTAAACACTATTCTGAATCCCATAACTTTAAAACACCATCATAGGAAAAACAGCTTCTACTCGAATAAAGTGGGAACTGACACCTTTAAGGTTCTGGAATGGTTACTCCCACGTGGAATATGTTTTCGTGTTATCTAACTCAACCTCCGGTTGCTGTAAATTACACAGAAACCAAAGTGCCCCCGACTCAATTCCAGGCCTGACACTCTCCAGGGACCTCGCCAGCTTCGCTCGGATTTTTAGATTTCAAGAGGCGGAACAACAGCCTTGTAGTGGTTCACAAATGTCTGAACGCTTGGGGAGAGAACTTGAGGAGAGTGGCGGGCCAGGTGGCCACGCGACCTCACTGTCCCCTTCTCCATCGAGGCTCGGGAGGCCGAGGGCAACCGCAGCTCCGGCCCATCCCACTCCATCCCGGGACGGCTGCTGGGCTGCCTGCGGAAGTCACCTGTGAAGGAGTCGGGGTAGATAGACTCCAGAGCCTCCAGCTCGTTGCGCTGCTCCTCGCTGTAATCTGTCATCGTGGCCCTCGCTGCTGCCCATGGATCGCCCAGACACCCAGGCGGCGCGTGGTAGCCGGGACCACAGCCGCGCCGGAGGAGCGAGCTGCTGCCTGGCGGGCGCAGGCGCAGAGGCCCCGGCTAGGAGGCCAGGGACCCAGAGCCAGGACGGGCCAGTCGAGCAACAGCCCCGCGCCGGCCTCCGCCAGCTCCTTGTTTCCGCGTTCGACTGGTTGGGCCTGGACAACGAGGCTCTGAGAAGCCGCCTGTCCCACGCCCGCACAAGATTTGCAGGGATGGTGAACGGTCGCGGTCTGGCATTCGTCACAGACACCTAGGACTGGTCGCTGGGCTTTGCAGGTCTGAGCGTGAGAAGCCCCTCAGGCGCTGCATCGGCGCTCGACACATCAGGGCTGAAAGTCGGGTTTGCGTTCCCGGAGCCGGGGTAGGGAGTTGCGGGTGTTGGCCAGAGGGGGCAGGGGGAGCGTGTGAGAAATCAGTCGTTTCTGGTTTCTGAGTTGAGACCCGCTGGCCTGGTCGGGGGGTACCGATGCTCGTTGTGGTGTGGGTTAATGGTGCGGTCCAGGTGATTTCTACGGTTCTCCAACCTGTAAGATCCTTGGCGTCCCGCGGGAGTTGGGCGAGAGGCCGAGAGCTGTGTAAAGCCCGGTGAACAGAGTGGCAGAATATCTGTTGGTGGGTCCCGTGGGTACGGAAGGTTGGGCCCAACTCCTGAATGGTCACTCTCTAAGGGAATCGGGGGAGAAATCGACTGCAAGTCTGGGGATCTGGGTTCTACATTCGGATCCCTAGGCTTCCCTTTTAAATTTGTAAAATGAATGCAGCTGGATATGGTTTTAAAGATGTCTGTGATTGCGTATTTCTATGAATTAATGAAGGGGTTGTGTAGATTTCCATAACAGTTTTGATAAGCAAGGTAAAAGTATCAGTACTCTGAAAAATGTTCAGAACCTTTGACTTGGGAGAATAAAAGTGAGGATTGTATTTAAAATACATCTATCTCCACGTTCATCTCATCAGTTACAAAGAAAATTTTCGAACTGTAATGGCAAAATCTAAGCAAATGGCTAAATAAACATATACTTTTATGAGGAAACTCTTAAAGAATTATTTATGTGTATAATGTGTTTGACTTAACATGGTTAAGTAAAAATAAACGGGAAATGTAAGAAAATACTCCATTAGGAGATTTTTTACACTTACAATATTTTTCTTTTGTTTTTTTGTATTAAAGCTGGTTTCACCTGTGTAGTGGGGGAAACAGTTTTTAATAAGAAGGTCCCTAATGGTGCTCTCAAGTGTTTCTGTCATCATTCTAAAATGGTGATGTCCCATGGACCAGAAAGCATCTTGATCCTGTATTAGGAAGTATTGCTCACTTAGAACAGGAATACGTTGAAACATAATCAGGTGCCTTTCTATACCCTAATGTGTGGTGGATACCGGCCAGCAGTATCCATCTTGGCTGTGGATGTTCATCGAAACATGCTAAAAACATACACAGACAACCAGGTCCTGTGGGGAAGTAGGAACGAAATGCCCCCCCCCCGTGGGGAGAGTGCCCGGTTCCCCCTCCAGAGAGGCTTTTTATTGTTTTTGTTTGCATAAGAATTCAGGTAAAAGCTCATTACTCATTGCTAGGAAGTAAGGATCAAACAATAGATAACAAGGAAGTCTGAGGGCCTGTTTTGAGTCAGGGTCAAAGAGCTGTAAAACTTTGGGGAACAAACTTACTTCTTGCTTGGACCCTTATTTAATTGGGAGCATTCTAAACAAAGCAGGTTTCACAGGATTTTACTATTCTTTCTTAGGCCTGATCACCCGGGGACCCGCCCTTTCCAGCACAGAGCTGCACCACCCTCTGTCGTTTCAGGCTTAGGTGGAGCAAGGGAACTAAGGCAGCCAAGAGATTAGGAGATTTTTCTCATAGACAATGAGTACTCAGGCTATGTCAAAGCCGAAGGGCGAGGGTCCATCACCCCTTTTTGCTGTAGCCCCCAAAGTCCTTCCTTGGGGGCCTCTCACATGATCGTGCCTGTCTTAGGTCGTTTCCCCCTTGGGGAATCTTACCCATCATTGGCTAACTGACCAAGCATTGGGGTTCAGTTATGAATGAAGCAGCAGAAGCAGCACTCCTGCCAGGGAGATAAGCTTTTGTCTCCTTCCTGGCTTATGGTCCAAGGACACTCCCTCAGCCTTAGCCTTCGTTGGGGTGGAGGGGGGGGGGGGGCGGGGGTGGTGGTGTTACAGCTTCTGATACCAGGCAGGGCAGTTCCCAACACTAATGTATTAAGGGTTGATTGGGGCATTCTTTTAAACTTTGAGGAAAAAAGCAGAGATTCTGAAGATAGAATCAAATAAAATGCATGAAGTAACTTACTTGCAAATACAAGGGGTTTATTTTCCTGGATATCCTTAGATCAGAGTTGTTACTGGGAAAAGGGCTTTTGGGCAGAGGGAACAACATAAAGTTCCTAAACAGGCCACTCGATATTTTGGAAGCCGGTATGGCTGGTGCACAGTGAACTGGTTGCAGGTCATTGGAGGGTTTAGCTGGAAGAATGACAGTCTGCCTACATTACTTTAGCTACTAAGTGTAAGTATATGTAATGGGGACAAAGCCTGAAAGTAAGGAGACCAATTAGGAGTCTATGGTAATAATCCAAGCAAAAGACGATGGCTTGGACCAGAGCTTTATGAGTCAAGGTGGTGAGATACTGACTAAGTACTGGATATACTTGGAAAATAGAGGTGTGTCAGGGTTCGATGTGGGTTGTAAGAGAGAGGAGTCAAAGATGGTTTGAGGCCAAAATGACAAGTGAGGATAATAGAATGAGCAAGAAAGTTGGTAACATCTTTAAATAAATTTTTTTTAAAGATTTTATTTATTTTTAGAGAGGGAAGGGAGGGAGAAAGAGAGAAACATCAATGTGCAGTTGCTGGGGGCCATGGCCTGCAACCCAGGCATGTGTCCCGACTGGGAATCGAACCTGGGATGCTTTGGTTCGCAGCCCACGCTCAATCCACTGAGCTACGCCAGTCAGGGCTCTTTAAATAAATTTTTAAAAATAAAAATTTAAAAAATTTTCCTAACCGATAAAAATGACCTATCAAAATGGAGGCACTGTAAGTCAGGTCACATTACTCTTTTGCTCCTAACTGCTCCACCCACCTCAGATTAAAATCACATCTTTACAATATAGGATCCATAGCATCTGGCTCCGTGACACTCACCCAGCTCTTGTTACCTCTCTGACCTTACCTCCTATTGCCCTGCCACCTATTCTTTGCTCCACCACACTAGCCTCCTTGCTGTTGCTCCAACATGCAAAACAGGTTCTCCTAAGGCCTTTGCACTTTCTGTTCCCTCTGCAGTGCTCTTCCTCTCATACCCTAATTGCTTCCCCTCCCCTCCTTCAAGTCTTTCCTCAAATGTAACTGTTGATGAGGCTACCCCCGTATTCTACTTAACCACCTTTTCTCACTAGTACGCACCCCTTTACTTTCCTTTGGAACCTACAATTACACTAGAATTATTTATGTTTATTCCCATTCATATTCTTTCCTTTCTGTCTCCCTTCCTCCCTCTTGCCCTCCACCCCCCTTTCTTACTGGGTGTTTCTTGTGGAGGTTGCAGGGGAGAATCCATTTCCTTGGTTTGGCCTGTTACCTGCTCCATCTTCACAGCCATTACTATTTCCCAGGCATCACTCTCACAGGCCTTGACACTCCTCTTCTGTTGCCACTTTGCCTTCTCTCTGACACTGAATTCTCCCTCGACCCACTTATAAGGACTCTTGTGACTATATTGGGCCCACCAGGATAGTCCAGGGTAATATCCCCTTCTCAAGAACCTTAACTTCACGTCTGCAACGCCTCTTGCCGTATAAAATAAAAGGTAATGTTCACAAGTTCCAGGAACTGGAACACGAACATCTTTGGGAAAGGCAGTATTTAGTCCACCACAGTATGCAAATTCTGAGGTGCATGGGCCTGTGTCTGTGTATGCGCAGTTTTTCTGGGTATTTCCTCAGAAGAGCTTTCTCCAGATTGGCTCTTCAAAGGAGTTCATGACTCGGTACACCCAGTCCCACAACTTAATCGCCCTCCCCTGTCTCTTCTAAGGGGTAATTAAAGTCCCAGAGATGTTGACTTGTATAAGACCATATGGCTGATGACAGAGTGTAATTTCCTGATCTTCTTTTGACCCTGCATAACTATGCCCTACTGGAAACAAGTGGATGGATTATTGTGGTGTTCTGCCATGCCCTGAGTAAGAAAGAGAAGACCAAGCTTCCTGGTCACACCTGTCTGTGGCTGATAGAATCAGCACCACTGGCTGTTGTGTAGCCCAGATCCAAAGTTATACCTCAGTGAGCATGGAAAAGTCACTTTGCTAAGAACCACAGTACCTCGAAGGGAAGCCCTTATATGTGTAGTAATAGTGGAAGTGGAAAAAGAGGGATTCAGATGTGATATGGCATCTTATTGTTGGAACTCAGGACGTTTTAGCTATTCATTGACAGGAGTAGGAGGAGAATTTTCCCAATACCTACAAGGCCCTGGAACTTTTATAATCTGCCTCCTGTCACTGTATTGCAGTGGAGTACCGGGGCAGATGTCACACTACAGGGATTGGATTCTGGCTCTATCACCTATAGGTATGTGACCTTTGGTGAACTGATGGACTTCTCTATACCTCAGTTACCTCCTCAGTGAAATGGGGGAACTTATTTTATTGGGGTCAGGTAGGCCTGGATTCCATGATTTACTAGTTATGTAATGAAACATCTCAATAGGAAAGCATTTCATTTGTCTAAGACTTTACACAAAGTTCCTTCACATTTTCTGTTATTATCTAATGTTATTTCAGGAAATTCATTTTACAATATGTGAATCTGCATACTAGTTTGTTATAAGTAGTAAGTGGGATAATTTGGTTCAAGTAACTGGCATATAATAATAAACACCATATTATTTTTACTGCTACTACCATCACCACTACAGGTGGGTGTGGCCACCTGTCTGGACCTTTCGGGAACAGCAGAGGACACAATACATGAAACCCATTTCTTACTGGAGTTCTGGTGTACTGAGATTAGAGAACTGTATTTGGTGGTTAGTACAGAAAAATAATTTGAGTCAAGACTAATGTGATTTGTCTCTCTGGAAATATAACATCCAACTGTTCTTTGGTCCATGGATCACAGTTATAGATTTGTGTCCCATAGAGCAAGGAGCCAGTTGTGTAGCTATTCTGAAGACAGTCTGCTCTTTTGGGACCAGTGCTAAATTCTGATAGGGTTACTTAGAAGCTAAAATTATATCTCTATACTTTATATTTTGAGGTAACTAGTAGCTATTTAGTCTTGCAGTTGGAAGGCTTTTGGTTGGCCATGACATTTCAAAGTTTTAAGGTAAATGGGATTTCCCTCTGTGCTAAAAACAGAATGCAAGAAAACATTTGTAAAGTCATATTGCTGTTCCTTACTACAATAGTGCTTTAGAAACTTTTAAAAATGGAATTGGCGATCGAGCACAGAGAAAGGAGAAAAAGAAGATGATGAGTATAAATATAATTCTACAATATGAAACAAAACAAAACAAAACAAAAACAAAGAAAGCCAAGTAAAACACATCTGAACAGTGGAGTTGTATTTGTCTCCTGGAAAGGAGGTAACTTAAATTCTAGTGAGGGGGTCAGAGAACGGAAAAAGTTGTAGTAAAAAATGAGCAAGTCTGTGTAATACCAGGCCACAGCATTTGATGTAGTAGTCAAAGTTTGGTAACAACGTATAAGGGAGCATTAGTGCTTAATTGATTCAATTATGTTTTCAAGTTACATAAATCCATTAAACATAAAGAGGAAAAAGTACAATATTACTAGTGGAAAAAATTTTGTCTAGCTGATTATCAAACAAAAGAATACTCTGGACAAAAAAAGTCTGTGAATTTTTTTTTTTCAATTACAATTTACATTCAATATTATTTTATGTTAGCTCTGGGTGTACAGCATTGTGGGTAGACAACCATATACTTCACAAAGTGGTCCCCCTGATATTTCCAGTTCCCACCTGCCACTATACATAGTTATTAAAATATTATTGACTATATTCCCTATGCTGAACTATGTATCCCTGTGACTATTTTGTGACCATAAATCTGTACTACTTAGTCCCTTCACCTTTTTCACCCAGCCCTTCAACACCCCCACCCAGCCAGCCCCCACTCCTTTTGGTAACCAAACTCTGATTTCATGTCTATGAGTCTGTTAGGGAACTTAACTTATTTAATTTAAAATGGATACATACAATTAAATCTCAAGAATGTGTACCATTTAATATTCACTGATGGTATAAAAACCTATGAAGCCACGTGGAGAGGTCAAAGAATACTTAGCAATTCTTTGCTACAAAGCTATGGCAGAAGATCATGATTAAGTGGTTCAAAATATAAGTTGTGTATTTCTACTCTGAAAGAGTTTCCTATAGAAAGGGCTCCCAGAAGCTAGTGGAAAGAAAGTTTCCTGCTGTTAGTATATAAACAACTACTACCTTCTTTTTGATGATATAACACTTGAACTTCAAACACTTTCATTTTGCTGTAACCCGAAAATCTTACTGAAGAGTATTTACTTTGGTACAGTCCTTGAAAACTATTAAAATGATTATGAGCATGATGTAAAGTGTTGCTTTAAGTAGTGTGTCCCAATATAGAGGAATTTCAAAATTTTTCAGAGAAATGGAGCCATAGAATTTCAGAGCTGGAAGAGAGTGTAGTGAACAAAGTGGATGTGATCATTTACATGGCTCATTTATACCAGAGCCAAACAAGGACCCTACTTACCTTCCACACTTCTACTTTTTAAAGATCCCTCTTGTAATGTCACATAAGTACTGTACATAGAGTTGGGTGACAAAGTGGAGTGATTTTCCTTGGCCACTTGTAAAAAGTGGAATGCCAGCAAATGTCTTTAGAGAAAACTAAGAATCAAATCAAGGATGTTTTTCTTCCAGTAGAAACAACCTGGGCCTACTACTATTCCAGAAATTGTATACACATTGACCTGTATACATATAAACATAAACATAAAAATCTTATTAGATATAGAAGGGGCCTCAAGAATTCATCTGCTCATTTCTTTGCCTTCCAGCAGATAAGGTCTCATTATCCCTATTTTATAGATGAAGAAACTGAGCCTCAGAAAGACTGAGCTGCCCAGTAAGAGATGGGGAGGAGGGACTGGTCTCCTGTCCTAGCAGTTCACTACACTGTGCATCTCTTGGTTAAAACGAGAATTGGTTCCCTCAGAATTTATTTTTTATTTGCTTCTATTAAGTTTGAGGGACCTATAATTTCACACAAAATATACTCTTATTTTCATGATTATGTAAAATTAGATTACCAAGTAATTGATTTTCAGATAGTTAAGTTGCCAGGTGTTCCTGAAAGTGAATCTTGAAAGTCAGCTTGACTATTGGCAATTGGTCCATTGCCCAGTAAGCAGTCATTGTTTTGGTTTAAAAAAAATAAAAGCTCTCATTTTGTTTATTTTGGCCAATGAACCAGTTGCTTACTTTAATGTGGCAAAAATCAGGCACAAAACACTACATATATCAGAAATAATCAATATAAACTAGAAAGCTGTCAAGTCTTAGAAGTGCAAAGTCATGCAGAGAAAAGTCAGGCAGGTCTCCCCTTCTGGAGTTCTAGATAGTGAATATACAAATGTAGTTTGCAGCCTTGCCCCCCCAAATAGACCTTGAGTGCAAAGGTGCAATTTGATCATGAAAAAACACAGATGGTGTCTCTGTAGTGGAGCACAGAGGGGAAGCTTTATGTGTCATTGCTATAAAAGTGCTCCCACTATGGAGGTGCTACAAATAACACATATGACACTAATGATGATACCATAATGCATCATCTTTCCCTGGTTATAGCAGCATGACTCAAGACCTTCAATGGGCTTCTCCCATACATGTCGCCAGCCTTGAAAGGGCTTTTTATCTTGGTATCCAGAAGGTCAGAGAGGTAAACTTGTAGGAAGAAGTAGTGAAAAGTTTCTGAATATAGAGGTAGGAAAAAAAAAAGAAAACCAGAAATTACAGACAGGGAAAAGAGCGATACAAGACACAGAGTGCAAAGAGGAAGGAAAGGGTAACTGTTAGCACTTATTTCATGGAAGGCCCTGTGGAGAGCACTTTGTTTCTATTGCCACGTTTGATCCTCACAGCAGCACTATGAAGCACACAACAAAATGGCACTCAAAAATATTAATTTTTGCACAACTAGTAAGTAACAGAACCAAGATTTAAATGTTGATAGCACTCCAAATTCCATATTGTTTTATTTAAGTAAGACCAATATAGGCATTACCAGAACATCAATGAAATTTCAAAGAGGAAGATTGGTACAATTATCAGACAAACTGATTTTGGAAATAGCATTCTGAATGGACTTATGTAAACAAAGAAGAGAGAGAAAAAGATGAAGAAATTACATTGAAACTCCATTATGGTAAGAACAGAGTATGTGTCAAGCAACCTGAATTTCCAAAGCTGCTATAATCAAGGTTTTAATTCAATACCTCTTGATTTGCTTTCTTCATTAACCTCATCTTCATGTTCCTGGTCCCCAAGGAAGCTATAGTGACCTTGCAAGTCTTTACCCAAACAGAGAAGACTGGGTGCTGAAATATCTTTCCAGTCCTGACACGAAGGAATACGTACGTGCTTCACATCCTCGCTTCCAGGAACAAAGCCAAATAGTTTCTTTATGCGCTGCAGGACGAGGAGGCGCGAGTGCTGCTCGGCAGCTTGTTCGAAGAGCTCCCTCTCCTGGTGCAGGTGGTTGGTCCAGTAGCAGTGCTGCAGAGAGGTGAGGGGCGAGCAGCATCTGACCACACAGCAGGAGACCAGGGCAGTGATGCTTGCCAAGGTGATCAAAATCCAGCCCAGCATCTTAATGTAATTATTTAAAAGGAAAACAGAAAATATCCATGCATCGATTATTCAAGAAACAGCCATGTTCAGAAGGATTCTTTCAAAATTGAGAACTAAATTGTGGACAAGATATATGTTTTTGTAGTTTTTAACACATTAACAAGGTGCTGACCATTTGATATGGATATGAGTATGATGGAGGTATAGGCCCAATCATTTCAACTTCATTTTTGGATTACAAGGGATTTTGCTCAGTTAACGTTGAATGGATTCTAAGTATTGTTCTTGAAGTAGCAGACGCTATAGCCCACAAATTACCCACGCATAAAGGGACACAAAGTATGTGCTTTGCTTTTAGCCCAATCTTAGTTTTCAACCACCAGGTACAGGTTGTCTGAGGGCTTACTAAGTATTTGATAATGATGGTGATGAAAATGATGATATGATAGATAATAATGGTAGCCTCCTAAGGTACCTTCAATGATATGCCAACAAGTACTCATTAATATTTCTTCCTGAGTTGCTCTTTCCTTTTATTTTTTATGACCAAAGAAGGAAGTCAGTGAGCAGACTCTTATGTCTCTAAATATATAAGGAAATAAATATATAAACAAAAGGAAACCTTATTGTTTTCCTTTTTATTTCCTTCCCCTTCAAACAGTCATTTGCTGTTTTATGACGTTTTTTGAAATGTACTTTGAAAGGAAAATGAACTAGATTTTATTTGCAAGTGTGTAGTTTCCACCATTAAAGATTGATGTGAATGGATGTTTTCTACTCTTACAATCCTTTGATTTCCTTCTAATTTTTCTTCTTTTTTCCCAATATTCAGCAGTCATTATATAAAGTGAGAGACACAAGTTTCACACATTTAGGGAAGCCAGCAGTAGGCAGCCACAGTCCAGGAGGTGGACATCTCTTCCACGGTTTGTGGCTCACCGACAGGCCTGGAATTGCCAGTGTGTGAACCGGGGCATAGCTGCACTCTGTGGAGGCTAAATCCTACAAGGTGATACAAATCACAATTAAACTAAATGGAGGCTGGCAAGGTGGAGGAAAGGCCATCTTAGATGCCCATAAATTCATCAACTATCATTTATTGAGCCTCAGGTTGATGGCTACCATGTGCTGTGCATGGTGCTTGGTTGTGGAGACTCAGATGTGCATAATTTAAGATACATGCATTCTTTCCACAGTCTTTAAGCCTTAAGAGAAAAACAAAAGAGCAAGCCAAGAAATATGGTAAAATATGGTAATTTTTGATACGTGTAAATTCGGGCCTGAGGGAGCACAGTGGAAGAGAAATGAACTTGTTTAAAGGAGAAGAGTATCAGGGAATACTTCTCAGAGCAAATGATACTCACACTAAAATTACTAAAGAGGAATTCAACAGAATGCAAGAAGTTGAGGAGAGTTCCAAAGAGACAGAAAACTAAGAACATAAAGAGTTCGGAAAACCTCAAGAAATTTGGATTCATAGGGTCCTAGGAGTCATGTGGAAAAGTAGTCAGGGGCCAGATATTGAAGGTCTAGTATGTCATGCCAAGAATTTGGATTTGTACTTGGGCTGGTAGGAAATCATTGAAGGACATTATGTGGAGTGTGTGAGGGAAGGCTCATCACAATTTTCATTTAGAAAAATAATTTTAGCCTCAGAGTAGAAAGCAGATTGAAATGAAGTGAAACAAAGATCAGGAAGATATTTGAGAATGAGGTGTGGGTAGAGAAGGAATTTGAATTTGATCTTGTGGTCAACCCAGAGGAGTTCTACTGAAAGACAGTGTGTGTTTCTCAAGTGAGACTGATGTTGAAGGTAACTACAGAAGGCCCTGATGAAATGGAAACAGCGTGATGTTTTCAAGGGGCCCTTTATTAGCTCTGTGAACTTAAGAAAGTTACATAAACTCTTTGAGCTTTGGTTTCTTCATCTCTAAAATAGGACTGCTTATATCTGTCCCATAAGATTATGAGGACTGGAGTTAAGATATGAAATATATACTATATGATGAGCAACCAAATAAATATTAGTTTTGTTGTCACCAAAACAAAATTCCACTTGCAGAGAGCAATCAAAACTGCAAAAACATCCTTTCATGGAAGTCTGTGTATCATTAAATAAGGCATTTTATTTTAACCTTAAGAAAATGTTACCATTGCATATTACCTCTTAGTTTTTCTTAAGCAAGGATATTTTTAAAGTTAAAATCTCTCCATTGACTACTTGACTTTTCCCCTATATTCACAGAGCTCCTCTGCCTGAGTTTTAGGGCTAGTATAAAAAGGTTGAGACAAAGCCTACCTTAATGGGATTTCTCATTTTGCTTAAACTGGGCCATAGACAACGCTGCAATATTCTGTGAGCTGCCAGTATTTTTTCAACTAAATATTATTAGCACTTCTAAACTTTAATAACTGAAAAGTAAGGGGTCAAAAATGTTTTTACAATAAGTGGCTTAAAAATAACATTTTTACTGTATGGCAGTGGTTTGAAAATTTGTTTTTTTTTTTCCCTACACCTTTTGGAGAAACTGAGGAAAGCCAGTGACCCCCTATTGAACTCATAAGTGTATTGGGTTCAGGCCTCCCCCAGCCTCCCTCAGCCCACTCCTCACACAAACCTGTCTAAGGACACAGTTTAAAACCACCATTGGAGTTTATTTCTAATTATATTTAAGCTTACTGTAATTTTATATATTTTAATTTATAAAAATTCATTTTAAGAATATGTATGTGGCAAGGTGAAATTTAGTAATATGGTAATATTAAGTTTAATAACAATCTAAAATTCATTATTTTTATATACATAACTTCTGGACACAGTGCTGAGTACTCTCGATATATTAGCTCATTTACTCCTCACACCAGCCCTATGTAGTAGATCCCATTAATATTCCCATTTTATAGCTGAGAAAACTGAAACATGGGTTAGTTACATAAGTTGCTTAAGGTTTTGCAGGTTAATAAAGAGCAAAGAAAGACTTAAACCTCGGTCTGTGATTCTAAAGCCCAATGTCCTAACTATATTGATATAGCTACTCAGTAGAAATCATTTTGATGAACGGCATCTAGTTTGTGTTCCATAATCAGACAATTTGACAAGCAGCAGGAATGTGAAATGATTCCAGGGAGTGCAGACTGTAGTTAATATGGGAAAGGACAAAAAAAGAAATCAAGAACTTACTTGTGACTGGTATCTGTGCAGAAGTGATACCTCATCTCTTACCAGGTTCATGTCAGATGGAGCTGATGTGCAACATGGAAACCCAGCTAAGATCTCTTCCCGTTTGCTGGCATTGATGTTGTCAAACACTGGGTAATGGTCCACAGATACAAATTCACTTGCTGCACATTCGTAGTACGTGCCTGTCATCAGGGTCGTCACCAGCCACGTCAATGGAGCAATGAGTGCCCTCCCGGTGATGCTGCAGAACCTAAGGCATGCCAGCTTGCGCTCCAGGAGGCTGATTCTTCGGTGTGGAGGGGCACATTTGCAGCAGTATTCGTTGGAAATTGTCCACATTTGGCTTCTCAGAGCATAGCCGGCAACCAGAAGGATCAGGGCAGGGATGACTAGGAAAGCAGAACCATAATAGAAGTTTTTCCCAACCTGACAGGGACATCTGAATGTGAAAGAGGAGAACAGCTGTTGCCCACCAATAGTCAAAGCAGCAATTAAAGAGTTGATCAATGTTCCACTTTTCTGCAAAGAAGATACAATACGGTTGAGAGCTGCACCCATCGTTGGGAAGCTCTTCCACAGATCAGCTGGTATCCCTTTCTGATCATTAGACTCCTCCAGCTATAACCATTTTATGGGATCTTACTGGTTCAACTGGTTGTGTCAGTCAACCCAACACCCTTACATGTTGAAAGGATTCTAGCATGTTTCCTTGTGCACCTTGGGAGTCCTGACCTAATAAATGCACTTCAGATTACATTAATAGCTGGAAGAAATTGAGAGAAGGGTTCATCTGGTGTGAGTGATGGGGAAAACTTCTTCAGTGTGTCTTTCCACTAAAGAGAGCATGGCTTGCATGCAAAGCAGACTACTGACAGCATTCCAGGTGCCGCTCCGTGTGACACAGAATGCTCGGCACCAGCAAACAGAGCATTAGGAGCAAAGCAGAGAACGTTCTCACCTTTGGACTAGTCCAGGATTTCCTCACCATAAAATTATGACATAAAGAATAATGAAAGATATCAAAAAATAAACTGATCCAATATTTAGAGCTCTCTGAAGTGTCCATAACCCAAGAGTTCTGCCAGAAGATCCCAAATGCTTTCCTAAAAAGAGGAAAACAAGTCTTGGGTACCCTTAAAACTGAATCACCAGAAAAGAGCATTCTAACATTATATAAAAGTCTTTTTATATTGACAGAATATAATATAATAATGTGCTAATTTATGTAAATTTTTAATGTGACATATTTTTGTTCTATGGAAATGTGATATTTATATATTAATAAAGTTATATATCTATACAGAAGAAATAATGTGTAAGATGTTTTCTATATTTGCTTAATCAGCAAATTTTTTTTGTATACTTTCTATATAAAAGCCACTGGACTAGGCCTGTTTGGGCTTATAAAAACTGAATAAGATAAACTTTCTGTTTTCAAAAACTCACTCAACTGGACATGGTTAAATACATAATTAGTGAATGCTAATGCTGAAGAATTTACCCAAAGTGCAATACAAAAAGACAAATAATTAAAATATGTTAAAAACAAATTAAAGGACTCCACTCCAGGAAGACAAACAACCCAATTACAAATTGGGCAAAGGACCTGAACAGACACTTCTCCAAGGAGGACGTACAGAGGGCCCAGAGACATATGAAAGGATGCTAAGCATCATTAGCCATCAGAGAGATGCAAATTAAAACCATAATGAGATAGAACTTCACACTGGTCAGAATGGCCATCATAAATAAACCAACAAACACATGTTGGAGAAGATGTGGAGAAAAGGGAACCGTACTGCACTGTTGGTGGGAATGCAGACTGGTGCAGCCACTGTGGAAAACAGTACGGAATTTCCTCAGAAAACTAAAAATGGAAATGCCTTTTGACCCAGCAATTCCACTGCTGGGATTATGCCCTAAGAATTCTGAATCACCAATTCAAAAGAACCTATGTACCTCAATGTTCATAGCACAATTTATAATAGCCAAGTGCTGGAAGTAACCTAAGTGCCCATCAGTAAATGAGTGGATAAAAAAACTGTGGTACATTTACACAATGAAATACTGTGCAGCAGAAAGAAAGAAGGAACTCCTACCCCTCAAGACAGCATGGATGGAACTGGAAAGCATTATGGTAAATGAAATAAGTCAGGTGGTGAAAGACAAATACCACAGGATCTCACCTATAAGTGGAACCTAATCAACAAAACAAGCAAACAAAGTAGAACCAGAAACATTGAAACAAAGAACAAACTGACAGTAACTAGAGAGGAGGGGGAGAGGGATAATGGGGGAAAATAGGGGAAGGGTCGTCAAGGAACATGTATGAAAGAAAGGATACATGGACAAAGCCAAAGGGGGTAGGTTTGAGGGTGGGAGGTGGGGGTGGGTGGGGTAGGGGGTGTGGTGGGGTGAAAATGGAGACAACTGTACCTAAATAACAATAAAAAAAAAAAGAAAAAAGAGAGAAATAGAAGACAAATTAAGCAACTCCATAATCTGTTTAATAGGAGTTCCAGAAGAAAAAAATATTGAAGGAATAGTCAGAGAAGCAATATTTGAAGAAAAATAAGTGAGGATTTTGCAGAATCAAAGAGAATTCTCATATCAGGAAAGCGTTAGATGTTAGGAGCACTGTAAAGATACATGAACATACAGACACATCACAGTGAAGCTGCAGAGTGTGAGAAATAGAAAGATAATCTTAAAAGCTACCAGAAAGAAGAGACACATAACCTGTAAAAGAATGACCATAGACCAACAGGAGACTTCTTATCAGTAACAATAGAGGCCAGAAGGCAGTATCTTCAGAGTAACTTAGTACCAGCTACACTATCATTCTAGACAGAATAAGATAAAGATACATAAGACTAAGGGAATTTACCACTCATTTCCTGGATTTCCCTCCAGGAAAAACGTGGAGGAAAAAATGAGTACAAATATGATATTCTCAAGATGTTCCTTTAATTATAAGCTGTAGAAATAACTACTTTTTAATTTAATAGCTATAACTAAGGCAATACATAGTTATAGTAAGACATCACTGTGGAAATGGCTAAAATTAAAAACACTGACCAGACCAGGTATTGGTGAGGATAGCAGAGAAACTGGAACCCTCAAGGTGGTAAGGTAAAATGGAACAATCCCTTTAAAAAATTGTTGTTTCTTTGAAAGTTAACTCTACATCCACTATGTAACACATTTATTTATCTCCTAGGTATTTGCTCAAGAAAATGAAGGTATATTTCCATGTGAAAACTTGTACATGAATGTCCATAGCAGTTTTATTTATAATAGCTGCAAACTGGAAATGACACAATGACAAGAATAAATTCAAAACCATTTCCTGAATCAAAGAATTCAAGTGAAGGAATACTACACAAAATTCTAAAAAAATTAAGTTAATCTATATTGGCAGAAAATAGATCAGTGCTTGCCTAGGGAATGGGGGAGGAGAAATGAAAAGAGAGAGATTACCAGGAGACAAGAGAACATTTTTAGGCATTTTATCAATTCATACCAGCAGAATTTTAATTTATGGAATGACTGTGTGATGACACAGACAGGCCAATGCCACTGAAAGAAGAATTTATTACATTTATCAAGAGAAAAGGGCATGCCAGGCCACACAGGGCCATGTGGAGAATCACCAGGTTTGGTCAGGAGGCAGGAAGGAGGAGCAGAAAGCCTAGGCCAGACCTTTTACTGGTGTTTTCATGGAAAAGGCACGACAGGGCAGAGAAACCAACTGAGGACCGACTAGTTTAAATAATTTTGACAGGGTTGGGGGTATAGGGGCTGTCGCTGTCTGTCTGGGACCTGGGCTGGGCTGACCTAGAGTAGGGGAACATTGGCTCGGTGTATGAGAGATAAGAAGGTGGTTCAGAGTATGGGCTCTGCACTGCACAAGAGGTATAAATCACTTTGGCTGCTAGTGAAGCCCTGTAATTAACAGATGCCAAAGAGACCAAGAATCTGAGATACTGCACTTAAAACAAGGTGACGGGAATGTCAAACATATTGACTGATTTGATGGCTTCAGGGGTGTATATATAGGTCAAAACTCATCAAATTATACATCAATATATCTCAAGAAGGCAGTAAAATTTTAAGAATAATTATTAAATATTAGAAATACAGTGTATAGGTCACTCAAACACAGAGAAAATAAAAAATGAATATTGATAGGAAAAGAGATAATAAAGGGAAAAAGATAGTACAAAGAACACACAAAATAATGGTAGAAATGAGACCAAACACACCAATTTCACACACACACAAAATTAAATAGCTAACAATTCCTGGGTACTCACTACATGTCAGGCCTTATTCTAAGAACTTCATTCTATTCAATCCCCACAATCACCCTATGATGAGGTGCTAATATTATTTTCAGCTTTCTGACAGGTGAGAAAAAGGAAGTACACAGAGATTAGGGAAATTGCACAGGGTCAGAGATGAATGGGAAAACCGGGATTAGGACCCAGGTGGTCTGGAACATGCGCCTAAACACCACACCAGAGCTGGACTGAACTTACATGTAGAGTGATTCAAAAACAGTCACCCTACTTACAAGTGACATACCTAAAACCAGGCCACACACAAAGCTTGAAAAATAAAGGTATTGAAATACATATTACTGAGAATGGTACTAATATGAGGCAAAAGTGAACTAAAGGCAACAAGTGTCTAGCTAATTTTAAATGCTCCATCATAAGAAAAGGAGCAATCCATCATGAGATATGATGCTTGTCAATTTGTATGTTTGTGACTGCATAACCTTGAAATACATAAAGCAAACACTGATATAATTATAGACTGAAATCCTTAAAATCATTGAATTTTAAAACATATTCTTATCAGAAACGATTGATCAAGCGAACATCAGAAATGATATAAAAGATATGGTGAACAATACTAACAAACTCTAAGATAAATATAGTATCCCATACGCTAAAGCTAGAGAATAAACATTTTTATAAGTTCCCAATAAATTATTTGCCAAAACATATTGATCATGTACAAAATCACATGAGAAATTTCAGCACTAATCTCTAATAACAAGGAAACCGATTTAAAAACCATGGTAACAGAATGCTACAGATTAGGGGGTGGCAATCTATGGTTCAGGGACCAAACTGATTTGCTGCCTATTTTACTTGACTTTTGAGCTAAGCTTGGGTTTTACATTTTAAAATGACATGTGAAAATTACATGAAATTCAAATCTCAGAGTTGATAAATATCGTTCTATTGGCACATAGCCATGCTGGCTCCTGAATATCTACAGCTGCTTTCCCTCCACAGCTGCAGAGGTGAGCAGCTGTGACAGAGTGTATGGTCATAAAGCCTAAAATACTGACTGTCCAGCCCTTCACAGAGAAAGTTTTCTGATGTTTGCTATAGAGCTGTGAAAATAAATAAATTGACTAGACTGACAGCTATAGATATGTATAAATCTTAACGAATAACTTTATAAAATTATATTTTATTGATTATGCCATTACAGTTGTCCAGATTGCCCCCCTTTTGCTCCCTTCACCCAGCACCCCCACTTCTTCGGGCAATCCTCCCCACCCCATTGTTCAAGTTCATGGTCATGCATGCAAGTTTTTAGGTTACTCCATTTCTTATACTATACTTTACATCCCCATGGCCACTCTGCAATGACCTATTCGTACTTCTTAATCCCCTCACTTGTTCACCCTTTCTCCCCCTCTGGCAACCATTGAAATACTCTCTGTATCCATGATTCTGTTTTTATTCTTCTTGTTTGCTTAGTTTGTTTTTTATATGCAATTGTTGGTAGATTTGTAATTTTTGCCATTTTATTGTTCATAGTTTTGTTCTTCTTTTTCTTAAATAAGTCCCTTGAACATTTCATACAATAATGGTTTGGTGATGATGAACTCCTTTAGTTTTTTCTCGTCGAGGAAGCACTTTATCTGCCCTTCCATTCTAAATGATAGCTTTGCCGATTAGAGAAATCTTGACCATAGTTCCCTGCTTTTCATGACTTTGAATATTTATGGCCAATCCCTTGCAGCCTGCAAAGTTTCTTTGGAGAAATCAGCTGACAGTCTTATGGGAACTAACTTCTATAGGTAACTAACTTCTTTTCTCTTGCTGCTTTTAAGATTCCCTCTTTGTCTTTAACCTTTGGCATTTTAATTATGATGTGTCTTGGAGTGGGCCTCTTTACATCCATCTTGTTTGTGACTCTCTGTGCTTCCTGGACTTGCATGTCTATTTCCTTCACCAAATTAGAGATGTATTCTTTCATTATTTCTTTCAAATAGATTTCCAATTTCTTGCTTTTTCTCTTCTCCTCTGGCACACCTATGATATGAATGTTGGACCTTTTGAAGTTGTCCCAGTGGCTGTTTATAGTACCCTCATTTGGGGGAATAATTTTTCCTTCTTATTGTTCTGATTGGCTGTTTTTTATTCCTTTATGTTCCAAATAATTGATTTGACTCTTGGCTTCATCCACTCTACTGTTTCCCTGTGAATTGTTCTTTATTTCAGTTAATATACCTTTTGTTTCTGACTGGATCTTTTAATTATGTTAAACTCTTTACTAAGTTCCTTGAGCATCCTTATAACCAGTATTTTGAACTCTGCATCTGATAGATTGCTCATCTCCATTTCATTCAGCTCTTTTTCTGGAGTTTTGTTCTGTTCTTTCATTTGGACCGTGTTTCTTTGTCTCCTCATTTTGGCAGCGTTCCTGTGATTGTTTCTATGTACTAGGTAGAGCTGTTATGACTCTTTGTCTTGGTGGTGTGGCCTGATGTAGTAAGTGTCCTGTTGGGCCCTATCACCCAAGCTGGGTACTTGAGGTGTGCCCTTTGTTTGGGCTGAGTACTTAGCAAATAACTTTGAAGGAAAAATTCAAGCTGTAAGGTTTGTGCAGTATGATACATTACATAAAGTTTTAAAACAAAATAATTTATGCTAATAATTTCATATTTAAAAATCAGTTTAATAGAGTCTACAGGGAATGAGTAGAGAAGGAAATTGTAGACCATTCTTTCAAGGAACTATGTAGAAATGATGGGAGCATTGATTGATTAGAAGTCACTGTTAAGGTTTCAAAGTCTTGCTGTAAAGGAGTTTTTGGATGACAAATTCTTCATTTCTTATTGTTGTTTACTGTTGGAAGAAATAATAACTTCATTTGCAGTACCTTTGTGTAACTTGTAAAGGATTGTGAATGATTATATCTATGAGTAAACAATGTTCTATTGGGCTTTATAGCCTAATGGTCTCCATGTTGAAGAGAGCTTGCTGTGGCCTATCCACCATATAACATGTCTGTTTCTCAGTAGGTACCTGGATGCGGTTTTACCTTATCTGAAGGTTTGTGGATGATCTCAGATGCTGATCATCTGGCTGACAGGTTAGTAGGTGTTCTACTTTCTTAGCATCTCCTCAAGTCACTACTCAGCTGCCCAGGTACCTCCCAAAGTATGAGTATAGAGGGCAGCCCAGCTCACTATTTACTTGGGTTGATAAACATTGCAGTGCAGGTATGACAAGACTGAAGAACATATCATACTTCCAACCCCAGCTCTGAACTCAGTGCTAGGATGCTGAAAGAACTCTATATAAGAGAAGAAAAACTTTTCCTCTGCATTACTTTAAAATGACTCCTCTTTCTAGTTTGCTGCCAGAGCAGACACTATTGATTTTCAGCCAGTGTGCCACAAGAATTTTAAAACATGTGATACCTGACTATTTTCAGGGGCACTGACCTCTTTTCCTTTCAATTGTCAAACAAAAAAAATGGCAACAGCCAACATAACAATAGCTATGTATTGTAAATGAATAAAAAATATACATTTTTTTCAGATCAGCAAGAAATATAATTTTTGGCATGCCTCAGAAATTTAGTAATTAGTTTATGTGTGCCACGAGATATAAAAGGTTGAAAATCGCTGATCTACATGCTTGAAGCAATCTCCATGCCTTCTTCCATTTAAGTGAAGGGTGGTTTTACATGAAAAGAAGGAGGCTGGGGGACACAGGTCTAAATGTGATCATAAGAACTGCTGAAGGCAACTGGGTTTCTCAGTCTGAAAACCAGCAAACCACTGCCCCAGAGTCAGTGCCTACTGCTGTGCTTGTGCAGACTGCTTTTGCACAGTAGTCCTGGCGGAGACTCCTTCCTGAATCCCCGTAGTCCTGGCTGCAGTGCAGGGCTGGGGGTGGGGGGAGGGGGACCCAACATCAGTCTGGAGGAAGAGCTGGCTTTGTCTGATGTGCCCATGATGCCCTGAGTTCTCAGGGTGGCCCTGTTGTCACCATACCACAGTCTTTTGAGTTTGGTAAAATTGATTCTTATATCATCTCTTCCTCCCAGGACTTTTCTATGCCTTTTTTTTTTTTTCAGGGATTTCCCATGCAGAACTCAGAGTTGCCCCAAACTGGGCCTCGGTAGCTTTTGTGAATCTACCCCCCAAATATTTTTTGTGACATATAGTGTATGTGGTAAAAACATTTTTTTTCTTTACTTGGCGTTAGCCCAAATCTCTCTCTGTTGCCCATTGTCTAGTTAACGTTGAAACAATTTCTTAACCTCTCGGACTTTTAGATTCCTATCATATGACATGGTAATGATTACAGTACTGACTACTTCACAAACTGTAGATGAATTAAAATGAGATAAAGAAAAAGAAATCATGTTGTAACGTGTAAAATTTATATAAATATGAGGTGCTGTTAGACCACTACTGAAAAGCCCCCCCAAACCTACAACTCAGCAAACTGCTTTCCCTGAGAATGGGGTCATAGAACATAGGTATTAATAGAAATCCCATATATGCTGTAGAATCCCATCCAATATATTCAACTTCAAGAATAATCTATGGTAATTATTATTTATGTAGTATATTATAATGTGCTTTATAGCACACACAATCTCTTTGATATTCACAATTATTCTGTGAGGTGGGTATTATTATTGCCATTTCGCAGATGTGGAAACTGAGCCAGAGAGCAATAAAATGGCTTGCCCAAGTCACACAGCCAGTAAATGGTAGAGCTGCAGCTTAGCCTGAGCCTCCCATATCCTCCCAGGCTCTTTCAACTACGTCATGCTCTTCTTCAAAATCGTCAGTAGTCTGTCACTTTATAGCAAGAGATTTTCAGAGCACACAGAGCTAATTGACTCAAGCCCTAAGAAGCAGGAAACTACTTTCTTAAACAGTTCAAGCTTCTATTTCTAGAAATGTTTTGATCCTCCACACCCTGCAGTTATCAAGATGAGAGGGATTCTTGTTTCAACTTTAAATATCTGTACTTCTGCATAAATAAAGGGAGCTTTCAATAGGCAGCATCTCAAGGGCTCTCAAAAGAAAGCTAAGGGCTTGCTTTCTCTCCCAGAATCATCATGCATTATTAAACTAGAGAACACCCATTCTGAGCAATAGTTTTATAAGAAAAATATCAGCACCAAATGCTATCACTCCTTCAAATTGCTAGTTATGGGTAAAAACTTACCAGAATATTTGAATTTTTTAATCACACAAGAAGGGGTCTGTGATGCCCATTATAGTCAATTAGGTCTGCACCCAGGATTTAGTGCCCACAGATTGCTGATCCCGTCTTGAGTTCCCACAACAATCAATACGAAGGCTGAATAATGGTAACATTTAGATCTGTCTTGGAATGTGAAGGTTTCTGTTTGTGATTTTAAAACAATGCTTTGGCATGAGAGCAAAACACCACTCTCATACTCCCTTGGGCTAAAGAATTTTCAGTAGATGGTGCTTCTGATCTGATTTCCCACTCTTAGTTTTTATGCCTCTAGATTACAACGCAGCCTCACAAGTGAAGCAGTACTTACTTGATCAATAGCAAGGTACGTGGCCACCTCACAGTTCTGTTTGTGATTGTCCTCTTCCGTTCAGCAAAGAGCAAAAGCAAGAGAGCACAGAAGTAGCGCTGGAGTCTCACAGTGAGGAGGAACTGGCGAACAGAAAACAAAGCCGAAGGAAAGAAATCGAAGGTCCCATTCCTCATCTGTCAAGTGCGATGTCTCGCCCTGCACACAGAAGACCAGAATACCATAAAATAGTAAGATCTTTTTATGATTGTGTTCTCCAAGATATCTTATTTTACTTCAGAAAAAATGTTATAAATGATTTCTGATTCATTTTGAGAGGCAAGGAGAATATTTCCGTGGAACAAGGGAGTGCAGAGTGGAGTGAATCATAAATGACAGCTCTGGGAATTGTTGCAACAATCTCCTCCATACTGTAACAGAATAATTGATTCTTTATCTATATTCCAGGGTCTTATTTTCTGACTGGTTTTATCTACAAAAGTGTCAAAGTTTTCATAGTTTGTGAGGTAGAAAGTGAAATGCACAGAAAATAGTTGATTATATATTAAATTAACTAGAAATAGATCTTAAAAAACTTGGTATGAAAAGATTGCCTTTAAAAATATATCCCCTAGTCTGAAATGTTAGGCATTATTATTGTAACTTGATATGTGCTATTGTTTTTTCTATATATTCCCAGTTCAGAGTTCTTTTTAAAACTTAATGAGTGCAGATCAGATTTGGATATCCTTTCTTGTTATAGGTTTGGACATCCAGAAGTTATGTAAGTGAAAGGTCATCATCAAGTTTAAAGCTCTGCTAATTATTTCAGGAGACCCATGGACATTGCATAAAATTAAGTAATTTCAGCCATGAGTACTTAAAATTGTATGATGAACTCATGTACACCCCAGTTGGAAATGCCTACAGATGCCCCTTCTGGCATTCCAGGATCTTGATTTATTTTATGTGGAGCTCTCATATGCTAAAAAATATTGAATGTAGTTCACACTATACCTAAATCACTTGATACTTATCCTGATATATCCAAAACCTCAAGAAAGAGTTAGTGTCTATTTTTCATATATGAAAATGATTATTTTAAATTTGATAGAGTTATATTGACATTCTTGTGATAAGTTGTATGGATTTGAGACCCTACTGGACATGCAGTTCAAGGCACAACCTTTGGCCATGAAGCAGAATGGAGAAAACTGACTTTGATGGGTATTAAACTTGAAACTCAGCTGGAAGTAAAACACACTTGATACCCACCCATGAGAGAGAAAGAGAAAGAGAGAGAGAGAGAGAGAAATACTATTTTTTTCAGCTTGGCCTTAATTGTAAGTGGGCAAAATGCTGAGGCTATAGCATGTAGGTAGGTATCATTTTATCTCCTCTTCAAATCCTTTTGTTTTATTACAAGTGACAACAACCATGTTATCTCTCTCCCCCCTTCACTTTTGCTTATTTTGGTAATTTATTTTCTGCTGTGGATCCTTATATACTCAGAAGATATTTCATGTATAGGTATTTCTTGTAGCTTATAATTAGGTTCTTGGAAAATTTAAATAAAAACAAAATTAAAATTAAATATATGATGACTCTTCAATAATTTGTTCAACAATATTTTTGTTCAAATTTCATGCTTTGCTTTACAGCCTTTGTTTCCTGGTAGAAATATTAATGTATTTATTACTTTCTTATGCCTTAATTATATATATTCATATTCTTAATGTAATGCCAATTAATGTATATAATATATATTCTACATACATTTATGACATTTTGACTTACATTTTCAACATAAATTATGTCTATTTGTGCTGTGTAATACTTAGATGCTATCCATTTAAAACTTATTTAGTGATAATAAATATTCTATCTTATTTTTAAAAACTTGTCATAATATAAGCCCATAGGTAAGAGAATGGACACAGGTGGTATTGGGCCCAGTTTGGAGTATGTGGATCAAAATTTTATAACACTTTATGTAATGAAGGCCCTTTGTTGAATAAAAAATTTTATTGATTTGTTGAACCATTTCTGCCCATGATAAACAAAAGTGAAATACATAATACCAGGCCTTATTTACCCTTGCACATTCGGCTATCCAAGATACCTGGGCCTAGAGGTAAGACATCCCTTCTAACCTGGAATCCACATTAGACCTCTCATGAAAATACAGACTATGCACAAAACAAGATTATTTTCAACAGCAGTGATTCTTCCTACCCCCTCTCCCTCCCACCTCTGTTCAACCATGCCTTCTTTGGTGCACCTCGCAGATGTCTGCCGCCAGAGGGGACCCTGCAATCTCAGGCTCCATCCTGCCTCTGCCGACTGCTGGCTGGTTCGGCAAGTCACCCAGTCCTCCTGAAGCCTCACTCCCCCTCCTGTAGGACTGAGAGCATTGGAACAAATTGTCTTCAATAGCCCCTTTCCTTTCCTATATAGTATTCCATTGTAAATGCGAAACAGAGACTTATATAAATGGATTGATTGTGCTTTATTTTCTGTTCCCCGTATTTTCCGCCTATTATCCTCAGTTTTAGTTTTAATTTTTAATTTACTCTGAAATTAAGACATATTTTGGAGATCTATAAGGAATGTGAAAGTTTTCCTGGGTTTTTTTTTGAGGTATAAAGGAAAAGTCATAAATTTGCTGCTACAGTTGGAGTCATCTTCATGTTCTCCCTGGCAGATCTGGAACCCGTTAGGGAGTTCCAGATCTCACGAGAAGTCTCACGCAGTTATTCCTTCCCACTGCAAACATGGGCAGCAGGTACCAAAGGCTATTCTGGAACAACAGCAGTTTATATTAGCAATAGTATTTCCGTAGAAACTTCCTCCATGGAAATATGTTGCAAGTTATATAATACAAGCAAATACATAGAAAGATGTTCTCCTGTTAAGAAATTAATTTTATTTCATAGCTCTTTCTCCCTCTGAGCAATGTATCCAAATAAGGGTACAACAGAGGGTGGAAGATCTGGAATGCTGTGTCTGACCGGAAGATAGAACCGTATATTGTTTGTAACTTCCTATAACACGAAACCATCCATTTCTCTCCAGAACAAGGATCTCTTTGTCCTCACCTATGGAGCTCTGGTTGCCCAACTGTGCAAGGATTATGAAAAAGATGAAGATGTGAATAAATATTTAGATAAAATGTAAGTAGAAGTCTTTAATTCATGTAGCATGTGCATCGTTTCTCAACATCCTTTGTATTTTGTCCACCTCTGATGACACCTCTCGCTCCATTCCACCAGCTCTCCTTCTCCTTCCATAAATGACATCTTAAAGCTAGACATAACCTCTGCCAGCTGCCATTTAGGTTGTTATAGAGTATGAAGTAATACGAAGAGACTTTTTTCCATGAATATCAGGCATGGAATGTTTTCTTTTTAGTTGGAAATTATTTATTTGTTAGTTGCTTATAAGCAAAGCAGGTGATAAACCTGAGTTTTTTCTTTTAACGTGACAGATCACCTAATATGATTATTTTCAGAAGTCTTTTATTCTAACATAACTCTTTCCAGTATGAATTTATGCTTACATAATTATGCACAGACCACCTATGGAAGGATACGTGAAAGGCTACCAATGGCAGTTGCCTGAGAGAACTGGGAGATGGGAGATTAGAGAGGTAAAAGGCAGATTTATTTTTTTCCTGTTTATTGTTTGAATACTTTTACCATTACTATGCTTTACTTAAAAAATATGCTAGAGAAACACACTTCTTCCTTTTAAGAGAAAGCCCATTCTACTTGTCTTTATTAGTGGGGATTCCTTCTGCACATATTCAGCCTTTAAATTTCTCAGCATAATTATATGAACATCAGATTATTGCCGGATAATAAAATATCTGTCAATATCTTTTAACCTCTTAACTGTGGATCCTGAAAAGGACTCTAACAGGGTGATGGCTGACAAATCTGTACTAGTTAGAATATTTAGGTTGAATGGAAAATTTAGCCTAATTGAGTTGAGCATTTTAGCTTTTTAAAAGGCTTCACTGTATTTTTTGTTGGAATACAGAAATAAAAACATAAAAGAAGTATTAAAGATTTTTTTCTTGAGCACTTGGTCTTCCTTTTTACATGTTTATTCTTTTTCCATTGATAAGTTGTTTTTTCACTGTCCTGTATTTATTCTGATTCATGTACCTTTATTTTTTCATTTCTTCTGAATTAGTCAGAAGCACTTCCTCAGGTAAACTCACTGTAAAAGTGGGAGCTGCGTAAGAACTTTTACACTTAGGCCATACTTAAACCTGTCATACAGCATTTCCAGAAGGTACAGCAAGTCAATAAGATGTAGCAATTCACTTATTTGACTAAAAAAATATCGCTGGTTAGGTACTACTTGAGTGCACATTTTAATGAATCTGAATAAAATATTAGTTAAAGAATAAATTTTGAGAGGCTGCTGAAAGGACTTGCCTTCAGAAAAATAATTCACATTTGAATATCCTTAATAACTTCTGCTGAGAGCATCTTACATTTTTTTTAAAGATTTTATTTATTTATTTTTAGAGATGGAAGGGAGGGCGAAAGAGAGAGAGAGAGAAACATCAATGTGCGGTCGCTGGGGGTCATGGCCTGTAACCCAGGCCATGTACCCTGACTGGGAATCGAACCTGCGACACTTTGGTTCGCAGCCCGCGCTCAATCTACTGACCTACCCCAGCCAGGGGTGCATCTTACATTTTTATTTAAAAAATTTTAAATATATTTTATTGATTATGCTATTGTCCCATTTCCCTCCTTTATTCCCCTCTGCCTTGCACCCCCCACCTCCATTACCCCCCTTATTTTATGTGCACCGGTCATACATATAAGTTCTTTGGCTTCTCCATTTCCCATACTACTCTTAACCTCCCCCTGTCTATTTTGGACCTACCATTTATGCTTCTTATTACCTGTACCTTTTCCTTCATTCTTTCCCCTTCTGCTACCCACTGATAACCCTCCATGTGATCTCCATTTCTGTGATTCTGTTCCTGTTCTAGTTGTTTGCTTAAGTTTGTTTGTTGTATTTTTTTAGGTTCAGTTGCTGACAGTTGTTTGTTTTCATTTACTATTCATATTTTTGATCATCTTGTGTTTTTTAGATAAGTCCCTTTAACATTTCATATAATAAGGGCTGGGTGATGATGAACTCCTTTAATTTTACCTTGTCTGGGAAGCACTTTATCTGCCCTTCCATTCTAAATGATAGCTTTGCTGGATAGAGTAATCTTGGATGTAGGTCCTTGGCTTTCATGACTTGGAATATTTATTTCCAGCCCCTTCTTGCCTGTAAGGTTTCTTTTGAGAAATCAGTTGACAGTCTTATGGAAACTCCTCTGTAGGTTAGGTAATCTCATTTCTCTTGCTGCTTTTATGATTCTCTTCTTATCTGTAATCTTGGCTAATGTAATTATGATGTGCCTTGCTGTGTTCCTCCTTGGGTCCAAATTCTTTAGGACTCTCTGAGCTTCCTGGTCTTCCTGGAAGTCTATTTCCTTTACCAGAATGGGGAAGTTCTCCTTCATTATTTTTCCAAATAAGTTTTCAGTCTCTTGCTCTTCCTCTTCTCCTTCTGGCATTCCTATGCCAGATTTGGATGCTGGAACGTTGAAGAGAGGCTTAGGAACCTCTAGGACAACTTTAAATGTTCCAATATCTGAATCTGAGAGCATCTTATATTTTTAATTCAATACATAAATATACAAAATATATACTTTGCAGAAGCATACCCTTTGACCAAAACTATATATATATATATATATATATATATATATGCATATATGTGGCACTGACTATAATATTCTGGCTTCTAATCACTGTTCCCAGGGGCCAACCCCGTGTATATGCATAAATATTAGAAAACACTGGAAACATGTTTTAAATCCTAATACAACTATTTCTGTAAAGTATACGTTCTGTTTTTTAAAAGTTTATTCTGTGTGATCTTCCTGACAAGAATCAGAAAACATTTTTCTTGGAAGGCAAGTAAACTAAACTGAATGTTGCTATCTACTCAGAAATATAAATATCTCATAGAGTTAGTGAATGGGTGAGCACTCTGACATTAAATCGATCCATCCCCAACTGCCCAGTCACCAAATATCTCCCCTCTTTTTAGACCCTATGGAGTCAATGTTGCCTCTACAAACCTCGGTGTCTTTATCTTGCTGGGTCTTCTGTTGCTCTATTCAAATCATTTCACTTGTATATGCACATGTTGCTGTGAAATTCGATTAATTTTATGTCAGTTGTTTGGAAAAGGCAGACTTATTCTTTTTATTTCTACCATTAAGGTTATATTTCCTCAACTAGGCTGACAGTTCTCAGGTCGATCTTATTGAGGGTGAGTGCTCAGTCACCTTAGCCACATACTCAGGTCACACCTCAAAAAATGCTTTTACAATTGTACTTCAAATTCTCTAGCTCTTTGTTGTGACGTGGAGCTAATAGAAATACTTTCTCCCAAGTCCCACAGATTCAGTTTCCCTGAAATGAAAAATGAAGTCTCTGGACTTGGCTCTTTTTTCTTTTCACTGAAATTCAGAGTCTAACTGTTGACATCTACACCAGCAACAAAAAATGATTTCTCTATTCCCCTCATCCCCTCCTTTCAGAGCCATGGCGGGCATGCCTGCCCTCCTGCCGTGATAAAGCTGCCACGAGAAGAATGAGCACCCAGGGACCACACCTGTAGCAGACAACAAGTTAACTAGACCCTCATTCTGTTTCTATCAACAGCTAATGATGAGAAAGTCAGCTGCTAATGAGAAACACTGGGTCACAAACACCAACCAACCTTCTTTACCTTTCGTGTACACGGTCAAGTTTTGGCCGGCCTTGAATCCTCCAAGTCCTCTGCTTGTAGATAAGTTACTATTCCCTGGATGTGTGCTCACTGTTTCTGTGGCCCGTGGGACAAATAGGGAGCCCACTGCCAAAAAGTCATTTGAATAGTCACATTGGTTTAGTTTGTTATCCAGTTGGGCATGTGCTAACAAGATGAATCCATTCTTAAACATTGATACATTTCACTAAGACTCAAACATTATTTCCAGACCACATTCTTCCCTTCATTCACAGGGGACACGGCATTGGCACACGGCTGGTGGAAGATTTTTTGGCTCGATCTTGTGTGAGACGATGCCACAGTTATTCAGAAATTATAGACATAATTGCCCAGGTAAGGACATTTTTAGTTCTGTCAATATGTTTTGAAAATCTTTGATCCATCCTGAGTTTGGTGGGTTTCTGCTCTGATTGAACAGGTTCCATCTGTATCCATTATTAGGTACTAAGAGAGAGGATTCTGATAAAAAAGCATTTAATTTCAGTACAGAGATAAAGCTATTGTGAACAGAGATAAATGCTTCTAGGCATCTAAACATCTATTGATTTTCCTGGCCAAATGGTATGTGTGGAGTATATATCCCACTCTGGGGAGAGTGCTCTGTGAAGGTAAACAGCAGGGAGGTCCAATAAGGCAGACTTATAACATACACGCCCCAAACCAACCTCTTCATGTAATAATTTTCAGCCGTCTCTGAGAATATTGTTGTAGCCATTTCATTCCAGAAACAGTGTTTTCCCAAGAGAAAAAAGACTTCCTAGGAGTGTGTGTGCACTGAGAACTTTCATAGCCCAAATATATGAAGGGCAACTTGGAAGTATCTGGAATGAGCACACATTTCTGATATGAGATTGGGAAATGCGCTCTTAGCCAGAATTCCATTAATCTACAGGCCTATTCACATTAGTGGCAATAATAGTTCCATATAGCAGTTTCTGATTCATTTTGATTTTATATCCTGCAACTCATCTGAAATCATGTGTTAATTTAACTGTTTTGTGTGTGTGTGTGGTGTGTTTGTGTGTGTGTGTGTAGTCTTTAGGGTTTTCTGCATATAAGATCATATCATCTGCAAAAAGATATAATTTTACATCTTTTTTTCTAGTATGGGTACCTTTTATTTATTTTTCTTGACTAATTGATGTGGCTAGGACTCCCAGTACTATGTTGAGTAGAAGTGAAACTCAACATGTTTCACCATTGAATGTGGCAGAGGGGAAAGGATGATCTCCTTCACAAATGGTTCTGAGAAACAACACCCACACATGTAATGGAGTTGGACTCTTGTCTTACAGCACACACGCAAATCAACTCGAAATGGGTCCGAAACACCCACCCCTATACAAGATGCCTTCTACCAATGAGGAGAATCTCTTGTCGCCCTCACCCTTCTTTTGTGAACAGGGGTTGTTCCTGATCTTTCCACTTTCCTTCAAGGGCCCGATTTCCTTGCTCTTAATAATTTTCACTTCTCCATCAAAATGTTCTTTGACATGTGGGAACAATGTCACACAATTCAAGAGCTTTTTAACTCAGAGGAAGAGTCAGATTTTAGTTGTGTATTCACCCACAGATGCTTGGCTTATAATTAGCGGCTGTCATCTAAAGTTCTGGCCTTTGGCAGCATTATCTCATTAATCCCTGAAGACTCTCAGAGGAGGCAGGTGTTAAATGTTAGCGTCAGTATTATCGAGAAGTGGGCAAGGTCAGAGGAAGTTGACTGTGGTCACATGCTGCGTGTGGAGCATAGCAGGGTCAGGAACAGAACCCACTGGCTGTGATTTGTTTAGCTGCCCTCTGAGACCCTGCACTTAGACCGAACACTGTCATCATCCCTCTCGGGGGTTTGCACCTGCATACTGTAGCTCCCGCAGAACCCATGATCTCTGTCCTGGTTCCAGCAAGTAGAGAAAGAAAGGAAGAAGAGAGAAGTGAGTCATCTAAGAGCTAGTTGGTGAAAGACAACACACAGGAATGGATCTCCTGACCTCATTCTCTGCTCTGTACTTCTCTGCCTCTGGGGAGGACAATCAGGTGACCTCAGATAGTAGCAACATTCCCATCTCTCTTGTTTTCCTCACTGTGCCTTTTCCACAGGGAAACTATCTCTATCACTATACTTCAGATAATTTTCTCCACAGGCTTTAGACCTCAAATTGCACCACCTAGTGGTACAAGAAGAAATCCTGTGACAGAGGCCAAATATTGATCAAAACCATCTTTCATCAGCCTTATGTTTTATGTAGAGATAGGTGGCAGGCTATTTTGAAGTCATCTTCCTGCAACATTAAAATGTATCGATTTTTATTTCTTTTCTTTAATTTTTCAATTACAGTTTACATTCAATATTATTTTCTTTTAGTTGCGCATGCACAGCATAGCCGTTAGACTGTCATATACTTTACAAAGCCAGCTCCCCCGACATTGCAAGTACTAACCTGGAAAAAAGGCATTCACTTTTAAATTCTGTTCTACCACCTACAAGTTTGCTTTTTGTGGTGGTTGCCTCAAAGCACAACAATAAATTTTAATTGTTAGCATTACAACATGATCTTTAACAACTTTAGTAGTACAGAGATTTTCTCAAGAAAAGCTCCAAGTAACTTCGCCTGTCATCTGTTCTTCCCTGACAAGAGAAGTTGAGACCCTTTGTGAAGTTGAGACCCTCTATTTTCAGCCCCATTTTAGTGATGATGTAATGAGACTTAGATGACATCACCATGGATGCTTAGAAAAGCCAGCTTACAATTTATTTCTTGTGACCTGATTCCAGTATTTTTTAAAATAATTGTTACTTTACAATATACCTTTGAAGATATTCCCATATTATGGTCTATTGTTTTGAGAAAAAAGGAAAATGTGGAATTTGCAGTAGAGTTACTTTGGCTGATTTTAGTTGTAATAATGAAATATTAGAGAATTTAACTGTGATTTAATGGGAATAAATCTCTTTAAGTTTGTTATAAGGGCAAGTAGAATATGCAATTGTACCTCTCTCTAGTGAAGGTCTAAAAATACCTCCTTAGTTAGGCAAAAATATATTTCATGGTTTTCAAATATATTGATGACAAAGTTTCAATATTAGGGGAAGTTAATTAGAGATGAATTGATCATTCAAATAAAAAAAATTAAGATTGACAAGAACTATTATAATGTTGTCTTTAATATGTTTTTAGAGAGGGAGGGGGTAGAGGGAGAAACATATTGATCGGTTGCCTCTCCCACATGCCCTTATTGGGAATTAAGCTGGCAACCTTGTGGTTTGTGGGACAAAGCCTAACCAACCAAGCCGCACCAGTCAGGGCTGTTTGTTGACTTTTAAAAGTAATTTATACACAAGGAACTCTGGTCCTCATCAGATGCAGAGCAATGGTCTAACCAAATCCAGGAGTCCTCACCCTGCTCAGCCACCTTCCTACTGTGTGACCCTGACAAAGTCTCTGAGTCTGACTGCATCTCAGTTTCTGTATCTGTCAGGTGAGGCCTCTTTCAGCTGAAGTTCTCCTGAGTTTTGGGTATTGCTTTCTCTAGCTAAAATCTGGGCATTGAACTATAGTTGTAAATAGCCGGGTGTCCTGGTGGGAGCTCCCAAAGTCTCCTTCAAAGCATTCACACTTTCTAGCTACTGACCATGTGAACAACCGATTGGCCTAGCATGGCTCTGTTCATCAAAGCTGGGAAACTTCTTACTGTCAGGCCAATGTCACGATGATGGCTGTTCTGAGGGTATAGGGGAACTTTATAATTTGTCAGTATAAACATCCCATCATTGCTATTGTCACAGTAGGATGAAATGTTAAAATAGTGAAAAAGATGGTCTAAAATATGTTTAAAATATAAAAATACTTTAAAAGCTTGAAATATTTATCTTTAGGTTAAAAAATTGGAACCTGATATTGTCCATATAGGAAATTCTGCAAAGCAAAAATGAGATCTTTTCCTTTTGATAGTGAAGATTGAAATTTACCTTAAATACTATAAGCAATGATTTTTTTTCTGGTGAGTGATATAAAATCAATGAAATAATTGAAAGGCAATGTTCACAGGAGGCAAAGAAGAGAAAATGCCTAAAGCAGGGAAGGAAATCTAAATGGTGGCTGTCGTGAGCGTGAACTCATGTCTCAGTCCTAGAGCAAACACTTAGGAATACAATGCAGAGTGGAATCTAAATTCAGAGGGATTTTTTTTTGAACTGGGGGAATCATTTTTATTTACAAAATGCTTCAGTTAAGATCAGAGTTGAATCTACAAAGAAGAATCCCAGAAAATCATACTGATCAAATTTATTTTGTCCTCATTCTCATCTGCACGCACAAAACTTCCCTGGACTGAATTGATACAAATTACTCAAACATTTTGAAGCCTGAAACCCCCAAGTCACTTTAGAGTGTTGGCAGCTCCATGGCCATAGAATAGCAATCTCTATACAGGTTTGTACTCAGAAGCACTGATTTCATACCTCAACAGGGACATTCGTGTCTGACTTTAGTAGACATTTTCAGAGGGGTGCCTGCATTGGAAGGAGAATCAGCGGGTCTGGTCAGGGAACAGACACCATGCAATCATTGCATTAAGCAAGGTTTACTATAAACATTATGAACTATTTATAGGGCATTAGCTACTAAGAAAGAAAAAGATGCTAAGGAATACCCTATTGCTGAGAGAATTCCCAAAGAAGAAATATTTTGAAGGGGCCCCTCATCCAAGGCTGTGGTTCAAATATCTTTGGGGAAGCTATGATCATAGCCCGTGGGAAGTGCAAAGGCCTCTGGGTTCCCAGGTTGAGACTGATGGACAGGGAATTATGGATCAAAACTGATAAGCAGGAGACCCTCACTGGAGTGTAAGGGCTGAGGCTAGTGGTGAGGGAAGCATGGGCTGGAACACACAAGCTGGGCAGTGAGTGCTACAGGGTAACCTATGTGCTGCCAGTCATTGCCAGCAGGAGTAAATCGAAAAAAGGCACACCAGAGCCAGGAAAAGAAGTACTTTCCTTCTGCTCTATCTCTACAGAAACTTCTACTGGCAAAGGACAAATATTTGCAAGATCTAATTCTAACATTAAAAGCAAGGTGATGTTTGGAGTTGAGAGGCAGCAATCCAATGACTAACACAGAGGCCTGAGCCATTGTGACTTTTATTTACATCCTATGGGCGTTTTTTATGTCGGTGCACCTCTAAGTGCAACTGTAGCAGGCTGGTAGAAAGATGTAGCAAAGGAAGCTGGATTATTTTCTTACCAGTGTGGTGTCAGTGGCCTACAATTTAAGATGCAAAGTATTACAGACCAAGGAGCACAGTTTTCAATGTGCACACTTTTCATCTGAAATAGG